TCTTTTTAAAAATACTTTCCCTTTATTTTTTAGTAGTTTATGGTTCACACAGCACTGTACTGTATTTGCTTTTTTTTTTTTGGTCTCTGCTGCTGCCTGATTGCCTACTTCCCATTCCTGACAAGGTGCGCGGCTGACTGATCTGTTCATAACTCTGCTGTTCGTAACTTCTGTGCTTTGTCTACTGGCAAATTTCGACTGTCATGGATGGAAATCTTTTTTCATTGCCGTGGGTGTGTACGGCAGAATTGACGTTTATTGTTTACTGATTAAAATCTACAGCCGACGTATATAAATATTCAAATTAATTTTACTGTCTAAAGACTGGAGATAGTCTACTAAATAGATATTAAAGATAATGAAGCCTAAACAAAATGAGTCTATATGATTCATTGCCACTGTTTGTTTTCCCATGAAATGTTTTGAGTCTGACAAAGCGGCATTATTGGATGGTTCTACCCCTGTGTTGCTGCCCTGCCTCCCACTTCGGTGTAGCTGGGGGCCCCCTTCTCTTCCAGAGAGGTATTGGTGGCAGAAGTGGGATCCCAGCATTTTCTGGATGTCTGCGCTGGCGTGGCAGGGCAGGTGTCCTGTTTTTGTTTTTGTTTTTTGTTTTCCCCTCTCCAAAGCAGTGGGTCAGGAAGTTAACACCCCACAGAGACTCGTGGGGCAGGTCTTTCCATCCCTTCCCACATGCCGTCTGAACACTTGGTTCAGGCTCTATGCAGATTCGGGTAGGGTTGCTGAGTCTGTTACACTCAGGGCAGCTCCTTCCCCGCATTTCCCCTCACCCCCCATGACCTAGACATGTGCCTAACATTTCTTTTAAATGCCATCTGAGATGGGGTTACCGTCATGTACCTCCATGAGCTGGGGACCTTAATCCAGCCCAGGCTAAATAGCCAATCTCAGTAGCTTCTTGGAGAGCTGGGGCAGGGAACAACGCTGGATTAATTCCAATGCCCGATTCCTTATAGGGGACGCCGGACTCCTTGGTGTATAGCACCACCCTCTCTTATAGCCACCTACCTGCCATCAGAACCAGCCCAGGTGTGGTCCGTATTGAGTGTTGCTACCCCAGGTGAGTCTGTAAAGGGGATCCCCATCCTAGAACTTGTTCTCCCATTGGGGGATCCCTGCATGACGTGACAGCAGCCAATTGGTGGCAGACGGTGATGGTGGGAGGGACCTGCAGGCCAGCTTCCCATCGGAGGACAAATCAGTGATCCTCAAAGGTATTTTAGATGCCTAACTCCCATTGATTTCAATAGATGCTTTGGTGTCCTCTGACAAAGTTTGTGGGTGATGCAGCACAAATGGCGGGGAAGTGGGTAAATAATGGCACAGGATGGGACACCGCTCGGATAGCTTTTTTGCTGGGGATAAATGTACATGTAGACATCTAGGATCCAAGAAGGCCCTTTCTCTCCCACAGAGGTATTGGTGGCAGAAGTGGGATCCTAGCATTTTCTGGGTGTCTGTGCTGGCGTGGCAGGGCAGGCCAAGCTTACCGCATGGGGGATGCTATCCTGGGAAGCCAGGGCTCTGAAAAATATTTTGTGTGTCAAGGCGGGAGATCAGATAAACTTGAGCATGTTGATCTGAGAAAGGGAGAGGCTGGGGTCAAACGATGCTGGGGATGGATCAACAGAGGGGCCTGGAGAAGGTGCAGAGCAATTATTTGACCTTTGGGTTCAGCCCTGGTGCGACCGCTGCTGGGGTCCACAACTCAAGGAAGAGGGTGATAAACTGGAGAGGGGCCAGAGAAGAGTCACGAGAAGGATTAGAAAACTTGACAGTGAGAGACTCGAGGAGCTCAATCGAGTTACCGTCACAAAGAGCCAGTCTCGGGGGGGGACTTGGTCACGTCTCTAAGTACCGGCATGGGCATTGGGTATACTAGGCAGGGGAAGGCTGTGCCTTCCCAAACAGCCTGGTGTGGCCCCCATCATGCTCCACCCCTAGGCCCAATCCTGCCTCCTGTTCCCTTCTGTGGCCGAGAGGCTCAGGAAGGCAGGCGGGGGGCCGCGGTGTGCACAAGACCCCTCGGGCTGGGGCCACGCCATGCCACCCTTCCTCCTGGCGCTGGGATCATGCTGCCCGCCCAGCGCTCCGGCCACGCCAACGGCTGGAAGCGAGACTAACAAGGTGCAAAATTCCACCATGAGCGTAATTAACCAGTGAGACGATTTACCCAGGGTTGGGGTGGATTCTCCATCCCTGACCCTTTCTCAGTCAAGATGGGATGTTTTTCTAAAAGGAATTATTTCGGGGCGGTTCTCTGGCCGGGGTCAGACTAAAGCAGTGGCATTCAGCCTTCCCAGATGACTGTACCCCTCAAGAGCCACTGGATCAGATGGTCAGAATAAGGGAGAGCCAGAACAGGGGGGCCAGGGGAGCATGGCCTTCAAAAGTGGGAGGGCTTAAGCCCCACCACTTTTTACGGGCCAGAACGGCGAGTGATGAGTGGGGGAAGGGGCGGGGCCTCTGAGAGGAAGGGGCGGGGCCACAGTTCAGTTGCCGGTGAGGGCCCCCCCCAAACTTTTAGGGAGCTTACACTGTTTCCGAGTCCCTTCTGGACTGGGAATCTCTGACTCTATAAATACTTTGGTCTTGTCCTTCCTTCTCCGTATCGCAAGGAGAGTAGGGAGGGATTTTAACCGGCATCAGTGCGCCGGATACTAGAATACCGTGTCCTCCTCCGGTGCTCCAAGGAGCTCGATTTAGATTGCTTCTTGCATGCGAGCAAGTGTTCAGTCTAGGGAGAAATGCAACGTTGTGGCTTCTGGCGGCTCATCCTTCGCAGCGGGCACGAAAGGCCTCCTGAAGCTCATGGCAAAAGCCCGAACGAGAACCAGGGTGGTCGCGAAACCCAGATGCATTCAAGTTCGGAAGGAGGCGGCTTTAGCCCCACTCCCAAGGGAAGTGGTGGGTTTTCTAGTCCATGATGGCTTCAGACCAAGTCCTGGATGCCCGTTGTAGAAAACGCCCTTGTTCAACATCCTTTTGTTTTCGGCTCAATATGGGGGTGAGATTTTAACCGCCTGTGACATACAGGAGGGCAGGAGAAATACTTCCTTTTGTTTGTTTTTAAACCTGCTGCCTGTTAATTTCCTTGCCTGACCCCTCGTTCTTCGTGAAGTGGTAAATAATTCCTCCTTATTCCCGTTCTCCATGCCGTTCGTGATTTTATAGACCTCTCTCCTATCCTCCCTCAGGCATCTCTTTCCCCATCTGAACAGTCCCGGTCTTTTTAATCTCTCCTAATTTAGACCCCACCGTGTTGTTAGCAAATGCATAGGTGTGATTATGTCTTCCAACATGCATTGCTTTGCATTTATCAACATTGAATTTCCTCTGCCATTTTGTTGCCTGGTCACCCAGTTTTGTGAGATCCCTTTGTGGCTCATTGCAGTCTGCTTCGGACGTAACTATCTTGAGTCGTTTTGTGTCGTCTGAAATCCACAAAAACTTGTCTACGTAGGCTGGGCACATGGGACTGCAACAGAAGTGGATTCAAACAGCGTGGCGTGCAGAAGTCTTAGCTCAAATGTTGGGGCAACTCTGCCCTAAGAGCTGATTGTAATTACAGAGATCAAGGCAGAAACCAAATGCTCTTGCTGTCTTCAACAGCTTTCCCCCCACAAACAGTGAGTGTTGTGTGTGCACACACATACAACAGTGTTGCTTTTTTGTGTGTATTTCTTCCCGAGACAGAACACTTGCTCGCACGCTGGGAAAAAGAACATGCCAGGCTGTTTGACAGCACCACCTGGTGGCACCTGCTGCCATGCCACGAATAGACTTTGGGAATTCAATCTATTTAGCTAGTCGAAAAGCAGGACAAGAGGTAACTGGATTGCCGGCTAGAATTGCCTTCTGCTTGGAGAGGAGAAATGAGATAGCAGGAGGGCTTCTTTGTCTGGCTGGCAAAGGCAAGGTGAGATGGAGTGGAAGCTGAAGCAGTTCAGACCTGAAACGAGGCCTTGATCAGCGTCCCCAGTTCTTTAAACGGAGATCACGTGTCTCTCTTTCTGTGGGAGCTTCGGATGCCCTTTGGTCAATTGGAACCTGAAATCCAGGGCACTTAGAAGTGCAATATGTGATCGCAGGTAACCTGACCTCCCTGGAGAACACATGCCAGAGAGCATCCCTGAATTAATTCTTTTTAGAAAAACACCCACACTTGAGCTAAAATCTGCCAGTGATGGAGAACTGGCCCCGGAACCCTTGGTAAGTTGTCCGAAGGCTGAATTCGCCTTACGGATTAAAAATTTGCACCTTATTTCCTGTCTGAATTTGGCAGGTCGTTGGGTTACGCGCCCATTTTCTGTTTGATCTCTGCTTGGCATGGCGTAAACCTCTCTCCAGCTTTATTTGTGTATGCAGTGCTGGGTGTCCCCTGGGAGGCCAGGAGCGCGGTAATAGCTGTGAAAGGGACACGTGATGCCTCTGGGGAATCTCGGGTTTCTTTCCTGAGCGTTTCGGGCCTGGCAGAGTGCTGAGGAGTTCGGGAAGCCAGATAGGCTGGTGTGGAGCTGACATGCAATTTAAGTTCCAGCCGAGCTCGGTCGTGAGCCATGGGGGGGTGGGGGGGTCTCGAACTTGGGTCTGCAAGGGTGACCGGCCCTAGTGCGAGACTTCACCCCACAGTCCGATTGGCAGAGTCCCAGAGCAGCTGATTAGGAGCTGGACCAGGAAGCCACCTGCTTGATTTTTCCTAGTGTCCTGACCTGGCATCTCCCATGTGGTTCCAGGCCTCCGGTGCGTCCCCTGCCTCTGTCCCCACAAAATCCTGACTGGTTCCCGACTCCTGGTTCTGATGTCCAGTGTGTCCCCTGCCTCCATTCCCCTGGTAGGCCCCCAACTCTTGATTCCTGCCTCATGGTGGCGGACTCCCGCTCCGACGGCTCAGTTGGGCTGCCCACGACCCGGCCCTGCTGCTCTCCCCTGACGAGGCGAAGGGGTAACGCAGTGGCTTACAGTTCCTGGGACCCTGAGCCGGGGTCAGAGCCAAGCTTAGCCCTTCCCCAGAGATGGCATGAGTAGCTGGACGTGATGCCTAGGAGGGGACTGTAGGTCATTTTTCTCCTCTTTCTAGCAGCCCGCCTCCGGTAAAAGTCTCTCAAGCCGTTGGCAAATGCTGCGAGGACAGGAACTGTGGGGCGTTCAGAGGTCGATCCAGGAGACTCCAACGCAAAAGGCATCTTCCTTCACAGCCAGGTAAGTCCCAAAGTCTATGGGTTGAGTGAAACCTCCATAAAACGGGTGCCCCACCCCAGCCTTTGAGATCTCTGAGTCATTGTGGCTAGTTCTCTGAAAACATCCACTCACTGTGCAGCGGCCGTCAGAAAAGCGAACAGAATGCTGGGAATCATTAAGAAAGGGAGAGATAATAAGACAGAAAATATCATATCGCCTTTGTATAAATCCATGGGACGCCCACACCTTGAATACTGTGTGCAGATGTGGTCGCCCCATCTCAAAAAAGGTCTACTGGGATTGGAAAAGAGTCAGAAAAGGACAACAAAAATGATTCGGGGTCTGGAACAGCTGCTGTATGAGGAGAGATGAATAAGACTTGGACTTTTCAGCCTGGAAAAGAGACGGCGAAGGGGGGATATGATAGAGGGCTATAAAATCATGACAGGTGTGGAGAAAGTAAATAAGGACGTGTCATTTACTCCTTCTCCGAACAGAAGAACTAGGGGTTGGCAAATGAAATGAATAGGCAGCAGGTTGAAAACAAACAAAATGAAGTATTTTTTCCCACACAACACACAGTCAACCGGTGGAACTCCTCGCCAGAGGATGTTGTGAAGGTCAAGACTAGAACAGGGCTTAAAAAAAAAACTAGAGAAGTTAATGGAGGATGGGTCCATCAATGGCTATTAGCCAGGATTCTGTTTGCCAGAAGCTGGGAATGGGTGACAGGATGGATCACTTGATTCCCTGTTCTGTTCATTCCCTGTGGGGCAGCTGGCCCTGGCCACTGTCAGAAGACAGGATACTGGGCTAGATGGACCTTTGTTCTGACCTACTGTGGTCGTTCTTGGTGTTCTTATTTGGGAAAATTATGTAAGGAACAATTATGCTTTCTTGGGGAATCTGATAGTGGAAACAATAGCCACCTCCACCCGAAAAACAGCACGTGCGGGCAGAGGTGGGGGGCGTTGATCTGTGTGAGAGACACACACCATGGAATGAGCAGAAAGCCAAGGAGACGGGAAAACAAGCACTGGCACTGAGGAAAAAGACCTCGCTAGATTTTTGGACAGAGTGCTGTCTGGAAAGAGGCTTGGAATTAAAAGCCAATAAATTGCCTCTTGCTGTTTTTGATTCCTCTTGCGCTCAGTGAAACAGGACTTTGTGCATAAAGAGGATTGCATCAAAGGTACCTGGACTCCGTCAATGACCCTCAGAAATGACCCTTATTTTGGTGAATAGCTTGGATCAAAGAGAATAACGGGAGATGGTCAAAGCTGTGTAGGTCAGCCAATTTTTCATGTCCATTTCCATTAGGAGGGGAAATCGGTACATATGCATCAGAATTCCCCCCTCCCCCCCAAAATATACTTGTTGTTTGGCCAAAAATGTCCACCAAGTCCTATTTCCTGGACCCAGGAGGCAGGTTCCTTGTGTCACAGTTTCAAGATAGATTGTGCCTTTGATCCCCCTTCTTGGCCACTTTAACAGCATCCATTGAGGCTCACTAACCTGTCCCCTCTTTCAGGGGGTGGGCAGGACCCCTGTCGCTCCAGACCAGTGGTTGCAGCTTGCACCCTGTTAGGTTTCAGGGCCTACAACAGAGAAGAGAGATTTAAAAACCTCAACTCCACTTGTTGGAAGGTTGTAAGATAAGGCTTCTTCACTGCATCGGCTCCAGAACAATAACACCCAAGAACCCCAAAAACAGAGAGAGAGAGAAAACAGGCTGCTCTTTAAGGCAGGATTCAGCCCTACCTTACTCTAGGCTGGCTCTCTGCAAACTCAATCTGAAAATCCCACATTGCACTGTTCCCTGCAGAGCCCCCTGCCTCCAAGCAAGGCCAGGATCCCCCCCAACCCGCTTATTCTTAAAGTGATAGCTTGTCATTTTTCACTCCGTTTTCTAGCCACCACAGTCTGCCCTTTGCCTCTTGCTCCAACCCCACTCTGTTCACGTGTCCAGCTGCCTTGGCTTCGGAGTCATTGTCATCCGCTCACTGAGGTGTCCATTGTTTTTTGTAGGGTCTTCCACTCAACTGCATTGATTCAGATGTGTCCCAAACTTGTAGTCCTTCCCAGCAGGGAGTGAGTTAACTCTTTCTGCCCAGTGGGGAGTGATCCTTAATGGGTAGATATGACAGATGCCAAAATCCTACGCATTATCTTTGGGGTCCATATTGTATCCAAGCTACAACTGGTTTATGCAGGGTTATGTCCTACTCCGGGAGGGAGGGTCACCAGAGTTTCTCTGGGAAGATAAAGCAGTGGCCAGTGATTACACTGAATAAACGATGCTAGAGAGGTGGTGGCTTCCATACACAGGTCTGAGCTGGGTTTTCTAGGTGCTACAAGACGAGGAAAATACTTTTGGTATAAAAGGATGAACTTAAATTGATGCGGGCTTTCTCTCCGATCCACCCACCGGCCAGGACCTTTGGCCCACGGGTTGGAAAGATTTTGATGCTGTATGGGGGACCGGTAAGCTTTCAGCATGAGTACGGGAACTCGTACTTTGTCTTCTCCATAAGGCTTTCACCTTAAGAATAAATGTGCTTGCTGACAGAGCAGGGGGGCTGGGCTTAATTTGTGCCGGGTCTCGGCCCCGGCACCTCTGGGCTTGCTGGATCCGTTATGAACGCCTCTTTCATTTGTAGCCCAATTTTAAATTCCGTATTAATTACATTTTACTTAAGAATCCCCAGTTACCCCTTTGAGGGTTGGCAGGTTCTTGTCCCAAGATCAGGCCCCGTATTATACACATTATTATATAGCTGGGAATCCCGGTCAAGCAACACTCACGTTAAAGAAACTCTTCTCTATTGAAAACAAAATAGTCGTTGAATACATTTCGTACGGTCGCGAACACCCCAGCTCAGTAAGGTAGATCGAGATACTACAGAACGTACCTCGGCACATCCATCTACTCACACCATCCCTTGCCGAACAACCTGCAATGTTGGCCATCATCTTCCTTATCTGTGAAGGTAGCTCACATACCTGTTACGTACGTCAGTTCATTGCCAGGGCATTCTTGGGGTTGGGTTGTGTGTTCCTGTGGTCAGAAATCCCCTTTAAACGCTCTATTTTCAGCTCCCCAATATTTGGGGTTTCTGTTGCCTCAATCGGAAGGTTAAGGGATGCGGGTCTCTGCCCACGAGGCGGTGGCTGACAGCAGGAAGCCGTGGGCAGAGGCAAGGCGTAACTGTTTATATTGTGTGTGTGTGTGGGGGGGGGGCATGTATTTTGAATCCACTTTGCTCTTCGGGAGCTGGATGGTGGCTGGTTCACCCTGTCGTGGCCCCAGAGCCAGCAGAGGCTGGGCAGCGAGGTTCAGCGTAAATCCCCAGTCTCGAAGAAGGGACTTGCAGAGCCTGCTCAAAGGTGACAGCTAGAGGCCTGAGGTGAAAGTGGGACCAGATCAGTGGTGGGAACTGTGATGCAGGGCTTAAGCTGATTGGGCGCCTTGGGTGGTGGCTTCTACTGCTGAAAGGGGCTTAATTGCTCCTTCTAGTCTGCCTGACAGAAGAGTGGCTCAACCTATCAACTTTTAACCTGGTCTGCGATCATCTATCGATCAAAGCCGTTCCCACCTTCCAGCCTAATATCTCCCGTGCAATCAAGGCTTATCCTTTGAAATTTCCCCTTGCGTTCCCCCTCTCTAGGCAATTCCTCTGAGGCAGAAGCGGATGAAATGATGGTAGGCCCTTCGCCAAGCCGTGAGGCAGCTCCAAGATCCAGGGACCAGGTGGAGGTGGTGAAGATGACCGCTAAAGGTAGGGGGGGAAAATGCAGTGATTTACAGCGATCGGGAAATACTGTAACCCATGGGTGGACCAGGCACCCCATTTGATTAAAAACCACTCTCAGGAATGGTCTCGGTATACTTGGACGTGCCAGTACAGGGGGCTGGACTAGATGTCCTCTCAAGACCTCTCCCAGCCCTATCTTCCAAAGAGTCTGCTATCTCTGTAGAAGGTGAGAAACAGCACAGTGAGGGATGTGGTCGCCCCATCTCAAAAAAGATCTGTTGGGATTGGAACAGGTTCAGAAAAAGGCAGCAAAAATGATTCGGGGTATGAAATGGCTTCTACATGAGGAGTGATTAATAAGACTGGGAGTTTTCAGCCTGGAAAAGAGACAACTAAGGGGAGATATGATTGAGGTTTATAAAACCATGATGGGTGTGGAGAAAGTCAATAAGGAAGTGTTGTTTACTCCTTCTCATTACACAAGAACTAGGAGTTGGCAAATGAAATGACTAGGCAACAGGTTTCAAACAAACAAAAGGAAGTATTTCTTCCCACAACACACAGTCAACCTGTGGAACTCCTTGACAGAGGATGTTGTGAAGGCCAAGACTAGAGCACGGTTCAAAAAAGAACTAGATAAGTTCCTGGAGGACAGGTCCACCAGTGGCTATCAGCCAGGATGGGCAGGGATGGTGTCCCTAGCCTCTGCTTGCCAGAAGCTGGGAATGGGTGACGGGATGGATCACTTGATGATTCCCTGTTCTGTTCATTCCCTCTGGGGCACCTGGCATTGGCCACTGTTGGAAGACAGGACATTGGGCTGGATGGACCTTTAATCTGACTCAGTATGGCCGTTCTTATGTGGGGCGTTAGACTCAGTTCACCAGCTCTTGAGCATGGTAATTTTGAAGGCAGCATGGTGAAGAAGGAGAATGAGTTCGTTTTGGGGGCAGCCGGGGGGAGCACGGAAGGGCTGGTTTGAACATGTGACATGTGGTTGATGGACAGTTGACACCATTGGCCAACGGGCGACCAGAGAGGACTTCTCACTACCGAATGAGATGATAGCTATTAAATATTTTCCAAGCCGGACCGGAAGATGCGTCAGTCCAACGCAAGTTATTGGGATCAATACAGGGGAGAAAAGCGATTGCCTTTCACTCTGCTAGCCAGGAAGTCAGATGGGATGATCCAATGGTCCCATCAACTCTACGCAAGCTCTCGATGCCAATTGTAACTCTCCGGTCTCTTTCCCACAGGGAACGTGAAGGATCACGGGGTGGCTTTGGCGCTGAGCGGCTTAGTGGCAGCAATCTCCGCTCTCCTCCTCGCTGGGGGAGCCCTCCTTGTGCATCAGAGGTGCAGCAACGCTGCTGTCTGACTTGTTTTAGAGGCGTGTTTCTTTGTGGCCGAGCAATAAAGGACAGACTTTGGGTTCTGGTGACTGGCTCAGAGGAGAATGGGGAGGGGGCTTCTAGCATGGCTGTGGAAGGGAAGTCCCTGCGACGGCCTTGGCTTACTTTGTTTTATTTTTAAGGCTGTTCCTAGATGTTCTGGAAGGGCATGGGTCTATTTTGACTACCCTTCGATGGGTTGGGTTGAGAGTTGAGTTTAATAGCACCTTCAACCAGTGTACCTCAAACGGTGTCAAGGGAACAACCTCCAGTGATGGGGAATTCCATCACCTCCCCTCACAGGTCGGGTTTTCATTTCTGTTGATCTGCTTTGGCCTCTCTCCAGTTTGGCCCCATCTTTCTAAAAGCGTAGTTCTCAGCACTGGACATTATACTCACCCAGGATGGAGCAAAGCGGAACAACGCCCTCCCGTGTCTTGCGTATAACATGCCTGTTCATGTCAACTGCATCACACTGTCTTTTCTTCACACACCACACAGTCAACCTGTGGAACTCCTTGCCAGAGGATGTTGTGAAGGCCAAGCCTATAACAGGGTTCAAAAAAGAACTTGATAAGTTCATGGAGGATAGGTCCATCAATGGCTATTAGCCAGGATGGCCGCTTTTGTGGGGGGGCCATGGCGGTGGGGACAAGGCAGGGGGAAGTAGGAGATTTGACCGGGTTGGAGGCGTTGGAGTGGCTAGCCCAGGATCGGGATGGACAGGGGTCCTTGAAGTGGGACAGGGAACCTCTTGCCTGTATGGGCACCATGTGGGGGTTTGGGCCTAAGTACCACAGAGGGGACAACTCTCGCCCCTTTGGGAGGGGACCATGGAGGGGGGGCCTTGGGGGGAGCCCAGCCCTCAATGCAGCCAATGGGGCTTTAAGAGACTCTTAATCTGACCCCCAAACCCCTCCATGTTGGCAAAAGTCTGGCCAAGAGGCAGCTGAGGTGACTACCTCAGTGCCTGGAAAACACCCCCCCATGAAGGCCTAAAACAAATGGAAAGGACCCCTTCCCTTCCCTTCCCACCCCCACCCCCACCCCCACGATGTCATTAGGGGCTGTCTGTTGCCGCGCCCCCCACCCCGCATTTTTATTGAGCAGGCAGCGCCAAGACGCCTACGTCCCAACATGGCGCCGCCCAGGGCGGGGCCTCCCGCTCCGTGCGCACCCGACACTGCAGTGGGCCGTACGGTGAGGTCATAGGGAGGCGCCGACGCGGAGGGGCGGGGGGAGGAGGGAGTGGGATGCTGGGGGAACTGGTGGCTGGGGCGACGGGGGGGCTCGTCCTCATTCAGGGTGAGGGGGGGAGCTGGGGGGCGGGGGGGAGGAGGAAGCCATAGGGGAACTGGGAGGGCAGGGGGAAGAGGAGCCATGGGTGGGGAGGGGAAGCCTGGGGGGAGGGGGATCTAGGGGGGAGGAGGAAGCCATGGGGGAGTTGGGGGGCAGGAGGAAGGGGAGCCATGGGGTGTGGAGCTGGGGGGAGGAGGAAGCCATGGGGGAGTTGGGGGGCAGGAGGAAGGGGAGCCATGGGGTGTGGAGCTGGGGGGAGGGGAAGCCTGGGGGATCTAGGGGGAGGAGGAAGCCATGGGGGGGCAGGGGGAAGAGGAGCTATGGGGTGGGGAGCTGGGGGGAAGGGAAGCCTGGGGGATCTGGGGGGGGAGGAGGAAGCCATGGGGGAGTTGGGGGGAAGGGGAGCCATGGGGTGGGGAGCTGGGGGGAGGAGGAAGCCATGGGGGGAGGGGGATCTGGGGGGAAGCCATGGGGGAGCTGGGGGGCAGGGGGAAGGGGAGCCATGGGGGGAGGGAGCTGGGGGGAGGGGAAGCCTGGGAGAAGTGGGATCTAGGAGGAAGGAGAAAGCCATGGGGGAGTTGCGGGGAAGGGGAGCCATGGGGTGGGGAGCTGGGGGAAGGGGAAGCCTGGGAGAAATGGGGACAGGGGGAGGAGGAGCAATGGGGGGATGGGGAGCAATGGGTGGGGAGGGGGAGCCATTGGGGGAGCCTGGGAGAGGGAGGAGCGGGGAGCTAGGGAGAGAGCTGGGGGAAGCAGAGGGAAACCTGGCTGGGGGGGCGTGGGGGGTGAGCAGGGAGAGCTGGGGGAAGCAGAGGGAAACCTGGCTGGGGTGGGGGGGTGAGCAGGGAGAGCTGGGAGAAGCAGAGGGAAACCTGGCTGGGGGGGCGTGGGGGGGTGAGCAGGGAGAGCTGGGGGAAGCAGAGGGAAACCTGGCCGGGGGCGGGGGTGAGCAGGGAGAGCTGGGGGAAGCAGAGGGAAACCTGGCTGGGGGTGGGGGGTGAGCAGGGAGAGCTGGGAGAAGCAGAGGGAAACCTGGCTGGGGGGGCGTGGGGGGGTGAGCAGGGAGAGCTGGGAGAAGCAGAGGGAAACCTGGCCGGGGGCGGGGGTGAGCAGGGAGAGCTGGGGGAAGCAGAGGGAAACCTGGCCGGGGTGGGGTGGAGGGAGGGGGGAGCAGAGGGGAACCTGGCCGGGGGGGACGACAGGTGGAGGGAGGAGCTGGTGGGAAGCTGGAAGGGGAAGGGGGTTGGAGAGGGAGCGGGGGGGGTGTATTTCCGTACTGGGGTGGGCAGATCCCCCTCTCACCGGCCCCGGGCCCTTTCCTCGCAGACACCGTTGAGTGTGAGGGCCGCAGCCTGCTCAAGACCTTTGCGGCAGCTTCAGCTCACAGGTGGGTGTGGTGCCCCCCCCAAACCGCCCCATTGCCCCCCCCAAACCGTGGGGTGGCTGAGACGCACGCCCCCTGCTGGCCCACGGCCTGCCGTCTCCCGGCCTTCGCCCAGTGGAGGGGGGGAGCTGCTGGGTACTTCTGCCCCGCCCCCCATAACCCACAATTGCCCCTTTGATCCCCGGCGCCCCCTTGTGGCCTGCAGCTCCCCCACGCTCTCGGCTCATTCCTGTCTCTCCCCCCCCCTTTTTGCATTTCCAGGGGGGAATCCGTCCACGTTTTCGGCTTTGAAATCCCCGAGGAAGAGTTCCGGGCCGGCTTCGACCCTGATGTGACTGCGCGGTGAGTCCCCCCCCCCCACCTTACATCATCTGCCCCACAGCTCCGCTTGCCTTCAATGCCCCACCCCCCCCGGGCCAGCACAGCACGGCCCCCTCCACTCCCGCCCCCCTCCGCAAAGCCGTCTGTGGAGTTGGGGGCTGCACTGAAACAATCGGGGACCCTCTCCATGATTTTGCCCCCCAACTTCGAGGGCAGGGGTCTGCTCCGTCGTCTCCAGTGAGGGGCGGAGGGGGGTGTTTCTTTCCCCCCCTGAGGAGCTGAGTTGCATCAGCTTCGTCCGCCTGTGCTCTCTTCCCTCCAGCCCCACACAGAAACCCCCCCGCTGGGGTGGGCAGGGACCGCCCCCCCAATAAGTGGGGCCAGAGCACAGGGTAGCTGCCTGCTTTTGGAGCAATGGGCTTAGGCTCTCGGCAGACTCAGGCAGCATCACGTCAGTTACATTGGGGCAGCTGTCCCCTCCCACAGCGTACCCCCCCCCGGGTTGACCTTTGACACCCCCCCCTCAGGTTACTATACCAGGATGGCTTCACAGACCCCCTGCGCTGGACCGGGGAGGCCGGGGCCTTCAGGGCGGAGGAGTTCTCGGCGCTGGGGGTGGCCGGGCGCCTAGCGCGGGGACCCGCGGGACCCGCCACCGTCGTCCTGGACTCGCTCAGCTGGCTTCTGCTGCGCCAGCCACTGGCCGCCGTCTGCCAGACGCTGGAACGGATCCCGAGGGCAGCTGCCTGCGCAGGTCTGGGAGCCAGGACTCCTGGGTTCTCTCCCCGGCCCTGGGAAGGGAGTGAGGGCTAGCGGGGTGGCTGGGAGCCAGGACTCCTGGGTTCTCTCCCCGGCCCTGGGAAGGGAGTGGGGGCTAGTGGGGAAGAGCGGGGTGGCTGGGAGCCAGGACTCCTGGGTTCTCTCCCCGGCCCTGGGAAGGGAGTGAGGGCTAGCGGGGTGGCTGGGAGCCAGGACTCCTGGGTTCTCTCCCCAGCCCTGGGAAGGGAGTGAGGGCTAGTGGGGAAGAGCGGGGTGGCTGGGAGCCAGGACTCCTGGGTTCTCTCCCTGGCCCTGGGAAGGGAGTGAGGGCTAGCGGGGTGGCTAGGAGCCAGGACTCCTGGGTTCTCTCCTTGGTTCTGGTGGTTAGAACATGGCGGGGCTTGGAGCCAGGACTCCTGGGTTCGCTCTCTGGCTCTCGGAGTGGGGGCTGGTGGGTGAGAGCAGGGGGTGCTGAGAGGCAGGACTCCTGGGTTCTCTACCTGGCTCGGGGTGGTGCGGGGGTGTCTGATCTCTCCCTTCCCTCCCCTCTCAGGCCTGCGTGTGACGAGGATCCTGGCCTTGCTCCACGGGGACCTGCACCCGCCGGGCCTGGTGGAAACCCTCCACTCTCAGGCCCGAGCTGTGGTGGGGGTGGGGCCGGCCCCCGAGGGCGTGGGGAGTCGGGGGGACGTCCCCCGACTGGCCTCCATGCTGCAGCGTAAGGGGACCCGGAAGGTCCTCAAGAAGGTGGGGGAAAGCAGGCGGTGACGCCGAGATTGGGGTGTGTGCGGGGGGGTGACTGGGGAGGGGGAGAGGGGGAAGCAGGGGTTGGGGGGATGGCAGGGAGGTGATGGGTGGATATTGGGGGGCAGGGACCCCCCAGATCAGGGGGCAGTGGGGGTTTATGGAGGGGAGGGGGTCTTGGATGGGTTGGAGTAACTTAGCAGCTGGAGTTGGCAAGGGGCAAGGGAGGAGACAGCCCCCCTTTGAGGCCGTGGGGGCAGCCGTGGGGGGAAGGGGGTGCCAATCTAGGGGGGGTGGCTCTGTCTCATCCTCTTCCCTCTCTTGTCCCCCCAGGAGGAATATTACACCGTCCTGGCCGGCTTCACCCCAAAAGCCCTCGGGGAGCCTGCAGGGAGCATGCCCCAAGATGAGGATGCCGAGCCCCCCTCCGCGGTATGGCCCCCCTCCCTTTCCTCATGAGGCCGGGGGTCCCCGGTTACACAGCAGTGGGCTCAGGGTGGGGTGGGGGATCAGCAGGTATCTGGACACCGGAGCACCCCAAACTCTGCTCCTTCCAAAATCCCAGCTTAGCTGCCCCCCCAGCCACTGGGGAGCTGGCAGTTAGGTGGTGGGGTCTTGGGGGGCAGGTGGGCGGTGTGGTGGGATGGAGGATCTCACAGGTGAGGGGTGTGGGAGTTAGCAGAGATCTGAGGGGCAGGGTGGGTTCAGGGGTTTTTGGGGGGCAGCAGTGAGTGGGGAGAACTGAATGTCCCGGGGTGCTGATTTGGGGAAGGGTCTCGGGGGTGCTGGTTGAGGTTGTAGGGTGTCTCAGGGGATTGGGGGGGATATGGGGTCCTGGGGTGTGGGTTTGGGAACACGGTAGGGGGGGTTTGTGGGGCAGGGGATGGGGGGGCATTGAGGGGTGGGGTTGGGGGGCTGTCTGAGTGCAGGGGGGGGCTCTGGAGGTCTGGGGAGAATCCCTATCTACACTGTGGCCCCCTCTAGCCAAGCTGTCCCCCCATGGAGGGAGGTGACCCTGTGGGGTGACTCATACGGGGGGGGCCCTGCCCCCTCCCCCCCCAGGCAGTGTGTGTGATGGGCGTCTCCACCCCCCCAGGCGGACCCCACCGCCAACTTGACCTTCAACCTGCGGCTGTCGGACACGGAGCGCCAGGCCCGGGACGGGCTGCTGCTGCCCTTCCACTTCACCGCCCAAAAGTGAGTGGGGCACTTGCCCCCGGAGAGACCCCCCCCGCCCCGGAGGCCCCCTACCTCCCCTCTGCACCCCTCCTGGATGCCCCCCATCTCTGCTCTGTACCCCCACCCCGGGGGGGGATGCCTCATCGACTCCCTCTGCTCTGCACCCTCCCCCAAGGGAGATGCCCCCTGGACACCCCCTGCCTCCGCTCTGCACCCCCCTTCGGGGCAGGACACCCCCCCCGCCTCTGCTCTGCACTGAACCCTCCCCCCCCCCCCGCCTCTGCTCTGCAAGAACCCTCTTGCCCCGATGTCCTTTCTGCCCTGATACCCACCAAATTATCCTGGCCTCTTCCCAGCGCTCCTCCGCCTCCCCGAATCCTCCCGATACCCGTCCTGCCCTCCAGCCATCCCTCCTCTGCCGCCCCCCCCCCCTCTCTGGTTCCGTGGGCGCTGACCCCCCCACCCCCTCGTCCTTCCCCGTGGTAGGAAGTCGTCCCTGCTGGAGGCCTCGGCCAACGCCGGGAAGATCTTCTACGAACCGGACGCCGCGGACGACCTGGACGAGGAGGATCCGGACGACGACCTGGACGTGTGAGAGCCGAGGGGGGGTGTGTGTGGGGGAGGCTCCCCCCTCCCCCAAATGGACCCCCGGATCTCGGCCTCCCAGCAGGAGCCTTCAGAGAGATCCGTGACCGAGCCCGACTCTGGCCCCACTGTGTCTGGCACGGGGAGCTACCCAGGAGCGCACCGTGGCCCCCCACCCACGTGCCCCCGCCCAGGGCTGTGTCTGTGATCTGTGGGCTGTTGACTGGGGTTGGCATCTATCCGCTGAGAAGTGGGGCTGGGCCTTGTTCCCCTCCCCACTGCACCCACGCCAGCCCCCCACCCCTGTCCCTACCACCCTCTCCTGCTTTGGCATGGGGCTAGACTTCCATAAAGAAAGGGTGGATGGGAAACCACGCCCCCTAGAGGGGACAGGCCCCTGCCCCATTTCCCGACCCCCTGAGCCAGTCCTGGCCTGGGGCCGGATGTAGAGGGGCCAGTCCCCGCCCTGGGGCCAGATCGGAACTGCCCCCTCAGTTTGCAGTGGTCGGTCTCATCCCTCTTCAGTCCAGAGAGGGCCCCCAGGCCCTTAAAACGAGCCACTTCCCCCTTTTTGGTAGGACCTACAAAAAAACACCCCAGCAGCTCCTGCTGCCACCGCCTCCACCCGACCTCAGCATTGTCCCCTTGCTGGTGTAAACGATGTGCCTCGTTCAGCAGGGAAATGAAACTGAAGCTCGTTAAGAGCGGTGCATGGTGGGTGGAGCAACAGTGGTGGAGGGAGAGGAGAATCCTGGGTGGGAGGGGAGTGGGGGCTGGTGGGTTATAGCAGGGGGGGCTGGGAGCCAGGACTCCTGGGTTCTCTCCCCGGCTCTGGGAGAGGAGTTGGGGCTGGTGGTTAGAGCAGGGGGGGCTGGGAGCCAGAAGTCCTGGGTTCTACTCCCGTCTCCACCATGGGGCTGAGAGTCTTGGTCGTGAAGGGGGGGAGAGAAGCCTCCAACACTTCAGTGGGAGGGATCCACTTCTGTCCCTGGGAGAGGGCAACCCCAATCCAGCCCGATCATGCTCCGTCAATCCTTGGTGCACCGGGGGGCTTGTACCCCAGAATCTTTCCAGTCCTGTAAAAGGGGGGGGGAAAGCAGTTGATGGGCAGACTGTGACGGGAGCACGGCCGCAGAGGGGGCACTGTGTTACTTAACCATTCCCCAAGGAAGCCATGTGCGGTAGGGAGCGCCAGCCGTGGCCGGCTGAGTCCCGAACCCGGGAGCTGCCGCACGGGGAGGGTCTGGGTGTGGGGCTGAAGGGCGGGGTGCTCCGGGGCTACTTTATTCGGGTGGTTGGCGGTCAAAACCCCTGGCAGCGTGCTATCTTGGTGCTTCGGTCAATAAACGTCGCCTCGATTTCCCTGGAGACCTGTGTGGGTGCTGTGTGTGGGTGCTGTGGAGGGGGGCGGGGTCTAGCTGGCTGGGGGCGGGGCACTGATCTTCGGAGGCGGACCACGGATTGGAGGCTGGGGGGGGGGCTTGTGTTGCCCGTGGCTTGGGGAGGTGGCCCTCTGGGTGGCACAGACCAGGGCAGGTGGTAGCCTGACACCTACCCTAGCTCCCTGAGCTCATCTATTCTGGCCTTCTGCCCCCACCCCTTGGGTCTGGCCCAGCCCCCTTTCCCAGGCTCCACCCACTTGCCTCCCTCAGGCCACGCCCCTTTCTGGTGGACACACCTACTGTCCCCTTGGCTCCCTGTGACTCCGCCTCTTTCTGATGACCCCATCCACTTGCCCCCTCAAGCCCCGCCCCTTTTTGCCATTCCCAAGGGCTGTCTGGCCCCACCCTCAGGCCACGCCCCTTCCTGATGGTCCCACCCACTGTCCTCCTGGTTCCTCCCTCTTGTCTCCCCGTGACCCCCACCTCTTTTCCCTGGCCCCACTCATCTCAAGGCCTGCCCCAACTGCTGTCTCTGGACACGCCCCCTTGCTCTGGCCCCTCCCACTTTGCCTCTCTACAGGCCACGCCCCTTTCTGATGGTCCTGCCCACTGACCACCTGCCCCGCCCCCCAACTTGCCGCCCTCAAGCCATGCCCCTTTTGCTCGTCCCAACTCCTGTCTCTGGCCCCGCCCACCGCCTCTCTTGACCACGCCCCTTTCTGATGGCTCCACCTACTGTCTCTGGGACCATGCCGTGGCCCCCCTCCCCCTTGCCTCCCTGTGACCCCGCCTCTTTCTGATGGCCACACCCACTTGCCCCTTATGCTCCGCCCCTTTTTGCCATTCCCAACCGCCGTCTCTGGCCACGCCCCCTTTCTCTGACCCCCCCCCCACGGGCTACGCCCCTTTCAGATGGTCCTGCCCCCTGGCCCCACCCACTTGTCCACCCCCTCCAAGCCCTGCCCCTTTTTTGCGCCAGTTCCCAACCGCTCTCGCTGGCCCCGCCCCCTTCCCTCCGGCCCCGCCCCCTTTGTCCTCCCGGCCGGAGGGCCCCAGCCGTTGGTCTCCCTTTCAGCCCCGCCCCCTTTCCCCTGCCACCTCCCACTCGTCTCGCCCCCCTCGCGCCGCCCAGTGTGGCGCATGCGCGCGCCGCTTCCGCTCGAGACCCCGCCCTCCTCTTTCCGCGCGGGCCGGGCCTTATTTGGCGCGCGCGGGGGCGCGCGCGCGGCCCCCAACCTCCCGCTTCCGTCCTCGCCCGCGGCGCGACCCCTCACCCGGAAGTGGTTCGACCGGAAACGAATCCGCCGCCGGCGGACCGACTCAAGGGGGGGGGGGCGGCCCAACAGCGGCGGCCGCTGAGCCCGACGGGAGCCAGGCGCGAGACCGACCCCCCCGCAGCGACCCCCCCCCTCCTCTCCCCGAGCTCTGCCCCTCCCCCCTCGCCCCGCCGCCGCCGGCTCGCGGCCCCGTGGCCCGGCCCGGGCGCGAAGCTGGCGGAGCTGGGCCGGGCGGGGGGCGGCGGGGCCGGGGCCGGGGCCGGGGCCGGGGCCGGGATGATGCGGACTCAGTGCCTGCTCGGCCTGCGGACCTTCGTGGCCTTCGCCACCAAGCTCTGGAGCTTCCTGCTCTACCTGCTGCGGCGCCAGGTCCGCACCGTGAGTGCCGGCCGGGGGCGGGGGCCGCGGAGCAACGGGACCCGGGCTGGGGGGGACCCGGGCTGGGGGGGGCCGCGGAGCAACGGGACCCGGGCTGGGGGGGACCCGGGCTGGGGGGCCCGGGCTGGGGGGGCCCGGGGGGGCCGCGGAGCAACGGGACCCGGGCTGGGGGGGGACCCGGGCTGGGGGGGCCGCGGAGCAACGGGACCCGGGCTGGGGGGGACCCGGGGGGGCCCGTGGAGCTGGAGCTGAGGTGGGGGGACCTGGGGGGCAACTCGGGAGCGAGGCTGGGATGGGGGCCGGGGGGGGGGGCAACAGGGTAGCAGGGTTGGGGTTGGACTTGGCGGCCTGGGGGGCAACTCGGGAGCGAGGCTGGGGGGGTTGTACCGGGGCCTGGGGGGCAGCAGAGTAACGGGACCTGGGGGGGGATTCTGGGGGCAACTCGGGAGCGAGGCTGGGGGGGTTGTACCGGGGCCTGGGGGGCAGCAGAGTAACAGGACCTGGGGTGGGGGGCAGGGCTGGGGGGGGGATCCTGGGGGCAACTCGGGAGCGAGGCTGGGGGGGTTGTACCGGGGTCTGGGGGGCAGCAGAGTAACGGGACCTGGGGTGGGGGGCAGGGCTGGGGGGGGATCCTGGGGGCAACTCGGGAGTGAGGCTGGGGGGGGACAGGGATGGGGCCTGGGGTTGGACTTGGCTGGGGGGGAATCTGGGGAGCGGGACGTGGGGGGGGGGGGAGCATGACTGGAGGAGGGGACCTGGGGGGCAACCGGGAAGCGGGGCCTGGGGGGCCGACAGGGTAGCGGGGCCTGGGGGGGGACGACCCAGGGGGAACTGGGGAGTGGGGCTGCAGGGGGGAATCCAGGGGGCAACTAGGGAGCGAGGCATGGTGGGGTGGGGGTGGGGCGCGGAGACCTGGGGGACAGCTGGGGAGCGGGACCCGGACCCGGGGGGCACCTGGGGAACTGGGTTGAGGGGAGCTGGAGGGAGGAACTGGAGAGCTGGCGTTGGGGGATCTTGGGGCCTGTTGGGACTATCCAGGGAGACTGGGAAGGTAACTAGGGGGCTGGCTAGCGTGATCTGGGGGGATTAGGAGGGCACCTGGGGCTGATTGCGGGAGGTTCGCGGGGGGGCTGGGATGCAGGGAGAGCCGGGAAGACCATGGTTGGGTTGTCTGGGGGGACAATTGGGGGTCTGGTGGGGGGGAGCTTTGGTAGAGTGGTAAGGGGCAATTGGGGGTGACTTGGGGGGATGGTGTGTGCGAGGGGCTGGGGAGGATCTGGGAAGACAATTGGGAGGCTGACTGGGGGGGGGGGGTCCAGGGAGACGCTGGGGGGGATTGCGGGACAGCTGGGGAGCTGGCATGGGGGTATCTGGGGGGTCATCTGGGGCAATGGAACAGGGACTCGGGGGAGGTAAAAAAGCACCCAAGGGCAGGGGCAAAGGGTATTTAAGAGGTAGCGAAGGTACAGGGGGATCTGGGGGGCTGGCATCCCAGGGGAGGTGGAGGTAGGAGGGGAGATAGACAAGAGGGTTCTGGGGGCGACTGGCCCCCTGGAGCAGTCTTGGGGGGTGCCTGGAGTTCGGGGCCCATGGAGACTTGAAGGCATTTAAGTGGGGGAGGTTTCTGAGGGGGTTGGGGCTGTGGGGTAGGATGCTGAACCCCTGGAACTGGGATGGGGAGAGCCTTGGACGGGGGCTGGGAGGGAGCAGCGGGGGGTGGGGTCATTATGCTGGCTCTGAGTGTCTTTGGCTGCTTGGGAGTGTGTGTGTGTGTCCGGGGGGGCGAGGGGGGTGCTAAGTTACTTGCTGCCCCAATGTTATTTGCTGCTCCACATCTATTCTGGAAAGTGGCGTTTAACCCTCCCCTCCCTGCCAGCGGCTGCTTGGAGCCCATCAAGGGGGCCTGGCGAGTTCGCAGGCAGGCGACATCCGGGTCTTCGATTGGCGCAAAGATCCAAAAGCCCATAAAGCCGGTAGGAAACCCGCCGGTGGCTTTTTGGTGTGTTGACCCCCAAGCCCCTAGCTTCTGGGCTCAGGGGGAAGGAAACTGACCGTGAAATGTACGTGTAACTTCCCTGCCTCAGAGTGCAGTGAAAGCCTCATCTCGCAACCCCTTGGGAGGTCGATCAGGATCATCCCCCTTTGTCAGACGGGGAAACCGAGTCACAGAGCGGGAAGGGACTTGAGGCCGCATGGACTTGGCAGGCCATCAGGACTAGAATCCTGCTCTAATCCATTAGCCCTCGCTCCCCTCCCAGAGCTGGAGGGAGAACCCAGGAGTCCTGGCTCCCAGACCCCCCTGCTCTAACCACTAGCCCCCACTCCCCTCCCAGAGCTGGGAGATAACCCAGGAATCCTGGCTCCCAGACCCCCCTGCTCTAACCACTAGCCCCTCTATCCATGTAGTTAAATGCATGGAAATGAAGTTTACCAGCCCCCCCATCTCTGTCAAATTCTGCCAGGTTTAAAGGGGAAAGACATTTACTCTGGGCATTCGGCTGCTCTCTGTGTCGAGTCACGTTCACCCTCGCCTTCGAAGCCCCAGGTGGAAGATCCCGGGGGGATCAGAGCATCCCCTTATAATCCGGGAAAGAAACCTTTGAAAGGAGGATCTGGACTCCGGGGTGTCTGGATCCAGCTCATTTGCCTCCCTCTGTGATCTTGGGAAAATGGCTTTGCCGTGCCTCAGTTTCCCCATCTTGAAACTTGTCAGACTGGAAATTCCTTGGGCAGGGACTGGTGGGGGGGCCCCCATTTCGGGTGGGGGGAAGCTCTGTGCGGCGCCTGGTGTGGTGGGGGACCCCCAATCTCGGGCAGGGGGAGCTCTGTGTAGCACCTGGAATACCGGAGGGGCCCCCAATCTTGATCAGGGTGAGCTGGGGCCCTGATCTCAGTCCATGGTGGTGGAAATTGTTTTTTTTTTTTTTAAAGCTGTGCAGCATCTGGTGCAATGGTGGGGTGACCCCAATCTCAGTTCGGGGGGAGCCTTTAGGCAGATGGCGCCCCTTAACTCCAGTGCCAGGGTGACGTTAACGCGGGCCAAGAACTTAATTCCAGCAGGGCCGCGGCTTCAGTCCCACTTTACGCTGGTGTCTGGTGCCCGAAGTCTGGAGCTCCCACCCCCCATCTGAGACACGGGCCTGGGTAGAAACCTGACCCAGAGATCCACAACTCCAGGTATTGCTGGGGTGTATATGGAAGGGTGGCTCAGTGGTTAGTGTTTTGGCCTAGGACCAACGAGGCTGAAGTTTAAGCCTTTGGGGAAACCGAGGCCGAGAGAGTGAGCCTGTAAAATAGGCGACCTATCTTAGATTGGGAGGCCCTCAGATACCAGGGTGATGGGCTCCGGTCAGTTTGTTGTGGATTTTGGGACAGCGGAATATAGTGTGTTTCGGCCGTAGATTTCAAGACGCTTTCCAAAGGTGGGCGGGATTGTTAGAGATGGGGAAACTGAGGCACAGAAGGGGGACATTCCCCAGGTCACCCAGTGTGCTGAGGACAGAACCCAGGCGTCCTGACCCCCCTCGGCCATGCTGTCTCTTAGCCTAGTTGTGCCGTGTTGCTTGCGTGCTGTCCGCAGCGTTACGGAGGTGAGAGTGTGTCTGTGTTTCTCTGCCGACTGCGGGTGCAGCGCCCGGCTCAATGGGACCCTGAGCTTTTCCTGGGGGTGGGGAATGGGGTGGGGGAGGCTTTCTACTCCAGGGGGTACTGGCTCTGACACGGCCCACGCAGCCTGTCAAAGTCACTGCCCCATAGACCTCGGGGCTAAACTCCCGGGTCCCTCTGGCCTTTGCCACGGGCCACTGGGTGGCTCTGTGTTTCCAGCTTTGGGCTGTTGGGACCCAGGCATCCTGGCACCGTCTGGGGTGTGTGTGATGGGATGGGACCCAGACGTCCTGGTGCCATCTGGGGTGGAGTGAGGTAAGGGGACCCAGGCGTCCGGGCTCCATCCCCGGGACGGGGAGTTGGGACCCCGGCGTCCAGGGCTCCGTCCCCGGGAGGCATACCTAACGCTTGCTCTGCGTTTGTCTTCTGTCTTGGAACACCTGCTAGTGGGAGGGTTAATATGCTTAAAACACTGCCCGGCGCCAACCCCAGACGCCTCCTCTGAGCAGGTGATGGGCAGGCCGGGGCCCGAGCTGTGTGCCCGGGCCTGGCTGCTGACTGGGGGCTGGTCTTAGTCCTGATTTTAACCTGGGGGGGGCCCTGTCACTCCTGGGGCTGGCTTGGCTGGGAGCGGGGTGAGAGCCCGATTGCTGTGCTCCCCTGAGCTGCTAACCCCCCCGCCAGCGCTCCAGCATCTTCCCATGATTCCCCTGGCGCACCTAGGACAGCTGAGCTCTCCCACAATGCCCTGGGCTGGTCAAGCGCCTTGGTGCAGAGCATCCTGGGAATCCTAGCGCCCGCGCGGATGCGGTACCTTGTGCCGGATCACACAGCGTGGACTCTCCCGTTGTGCCGGGGCGCTGCACGGATGCCGATCGATTGGGGGACCCCACTGGGCTGCGTGCGATGGAGGGGACCCCGATCTTTACCTAGAGGGTAAAGGCCCCTGAGCTAGCCAGTCCTTGCCCCGGGGCCGGATGGGAGCCCCGTTCCCTGGCCAGCCCATAACCAAATCTCCACTGCTGCTCCTGCAGGGGGGTGGGTCGGAAGCAGCCACTGGCTGGCCCCCGGGCCCTGTGATTTCCAGCTGCCCTGTGGCCGGACTGAGACGGCGGCCGCGTAAGCTGTTCTCCGCGGGCTGGGATTGCGCTTTCCCCGCTCAGCGGGGCAGGGGGGCTGGGGTCCTTTGGACCCCACCTGTTTCCCCTGCTCCGAGGGTTCCTGAGCTGCCGCCTCTCCCCGTGGTCTCAGGCCTCGCCAGATCCAATGCCAGGCAGCCCGCGGATCGGATCAGCCGGGGTGAACCAGCTGGGAAAGCTAATTCTGGGAGGAGGCCCTTGCAGCTGGCCCTGGAGTCACGTCCTGCTGCCCCCGGGGCCAGCGCCAGCCACTGGCCAAGCGGCGCATGACCCGTGGGGCGCGGGATCCGTGCCCTTGCCAAGGGACGACAGGTGCCGGGGCTGTGACCGGGGCGCAGTTTGAGTTGGGGAAGCAGGTGGGTGGTTAAAATAGAGACTGGGAGGTGTGAAGGGAGCAGGGGTGAGCCCATGGCAGATCTAATCCAGGCTTCTCCAGTGCAGGCAGGTGCTGTGACATGTCATAGGGCAGGGCGGACGGGGGCCCAAATGGCACAACAGAGGGAGGGGAGGGGGGGTCTGGTGGGTTAGAGCAGGGTGGGCCAGGAACCAGGACTCCTGGGTTATGTTCCCCCCTCTGTCAAAAAGGGGAGCCATGTTTTTTACCAGCATGAGTCCGGACTCCTGGGTTCCATCCAGATTCATTCCTGTCTTGTTAATTCCCCTGTTGTGTCTATGCTCCTGCCCTGCTCTAAACACCTGAGATGGAACCCACTCCCCTCCCAGAGCTGGGGAGAGAACCCAGGAGTCCTGGCTCCCAGCCACCCCTGCTCTAACCCACCAGACACCACTCCCCTCCCAGAGCTGGGGAGAGAACCCAGGAGTCCTGGCTCCTAGCCACCCCTGCTCTAACCCACCAGACACCACTCCCCTCCCAGAGCTGGGGAGAGAACCCAGGAGTCCTGGCTCCCAGCCACCCCTGCTCTAACCCACCAGACACCATTCCCCTCCCAGAGCTGGGGAGAGAACCCAGGAGTCCTGGCTCCTAGCCACCCCTGCTCTAACCCACCAGACACCATTCCCCTCCCAGAGCTGGGGAGAGAACCCAGGAGTCCTGGCTCCCAGCCCCGCAGCTCTAACCCACCAGATGGGAATGGGGGGGGGGGGCACAGAGCATGTGGAATGAATGGAGGAGTGGGGAGAAATGGGGGGAGATTGGAGGGACAAGGGGGGAGTCCCTCAAGTAGAAGGGGGTGTCAACACATGGAGCTTGTGGGAGGCCCCCGGACATGGGTTGTCACAGAGGCATGCCCGTGTGTGGCGGGGGACTGGGATGATCTGGGGGCAGGGGGGTTAGCAGCCGGGCTCTCCTCCCAGCTATGACAGCCCGTCCCGCTCTCCTCGCGGCAGGTGATCCAGTACCAGACGGTGCGCTATGATGTGCTCCCTCTCTCCCCGGCTGCACGGAACCGGCTTAGTAAGTGTCCCCGCCCCTCAGCTCCCAGCCCCCACTGCCTTCCCAGAGCTGGGGAGAGAACCCAGGCATCCTAGGTCCCAGCCGCCCCTTCTCTAACCCACCAGCCCCCACTCCCTTCCCAGAGCTGGGGAGAGAACCCAGGCATCCTAGGTCCCAGCCCCCCCTTCTCTAACCCACCAGACCCCACTCCCTTCCCAGAGCTGGGGAGAGAACCCAGGCATCCTAGGTCCCAGCCCCCCCTTCTCTAACCCACCAGAACCCACTCCCTTCCCAGAGCTGGGGAGAGAACCCAGGCATCCTAGGTCCCAGCCGCCCCTTCTCTAACCCACCAGACCCCACTCCCTTCCCAGAGCTGGGGAGAGAACCCAGGCATCCTAGGTCCCAGCCGCCCCTTCTCTAACCCACCAGACCCCACTCCCTTCCCAGAGCTGGGGAGAGAACCCAGGCATCCTAGGTCCCAGCCGCCCCTTCTCTAACCCACCAGACCCCACTCCCTTCCCAGAGCTGGGGAGAGAACCCAGGCATCCTAGGTCCCAGCCGCCCCTTCTCTAACCCACCAGACCCCACTCCCTTCCCAGAGCTGGGGAGAGAACCCAGGCATCCTAGGTCCCAGCCGCCCCTTCTCTAACCCACCAGACCCCACTCCCCTCCCAGAGCTGGGGAGCAGGAGGGCCTCCCCAGATTTTCTGGGTTAAGAGGGGGTGTCTCCCCAGGAGTGGCAAAGGGGTGGGGCTGCATCTAAACCTTACAGCAGATTGGTCCAATGGGGTCCCTGCCATGGGGCAGCATGCGGTGGGGGGTGTGGTGGGAGGGACTGGATGCCTGTTTCTCAGGGCTGATGTTGATTGGGGGGGGGGGGGGGGTTTGCAGGCCACATCTGACAGCTCCCTCTCCCCACCCAGACCAGGTGAAGCGGAAGGTCCTGGTGCTCGACCTGGACGAGACGTTGATCCACTCGCACCACGATGGGGTGATGCGACCCACGGTGCGGCCCGGGACCCCTCCCGACTTCATCCTCAAGGTGAGCCGGTGGCCAGGCGCCGAGGAGTGAACTCTGGCTGGCGGGACGGGGGAGATCTGGGGGTGTGTGAGAGGGGGGAGATCAGGGGGAGATTGCCTCTGTGTTGGTGTGTGTGGGGTTCTGTCCTCCTGCACGCGTGCAACGCCCAGGTAAATTTATGTAGGTCCTACACCCATGCCCCCGCCTCGGCCACATCCTTCGCTCCAGACACAATGGGAACTGCCTTTCTGTGGGGACTATATGCCACAAGTCAAAGCTATCTAGGGCCTTTCCCCTCTAGGGGGCGCCGGCTGCAGGCTCAGGGGAGCGATGGGGAATGGGGGACCCCGCTTTACCTGTCTCCTCTCCGGTCTCCAGGTTGTGATAGACAAACACCCCGTCCGCTTTTTTGTACATAAGAGGCCGCACGTGGATTTTTTCCTAGAAGTGGTAAGTGGCCCCCCCGCCGTGTTCTGCTTTCTTCCGGGGTGGGGTCCTGTTTTCAGACCCACGTCAGCGCGGATCATGCCCCCCCTCTTCCCCACCCACCACGCTATTCTCCACAACCCCCACAATGAAATTTGGCTGGCACAACAGCTGGCTGTAGAGGCCCGACTAGGTTCCCGGCTCTGCCGCTGACTCCCCTGCCCAACCCACTTGACTACAGAACCGGGGAGAGACCCCAGGATTCCTGACTCCCAGACCCCGCTGCTGTAACCCACTCAACCCCAGATCCAGGGAGAGAACCCAGGCGTCCTGGCTCCCAGCCCCTCCTGCTCTAACCAGCTAGACCCTTCTCCCCTCCCAGAGACAGTGAGAGAACCCAGGAGTCCTAGCTCCCAGCCTCCACTGCTCTAACCCACTAGACCCCACTCCCCTCCCAGAGACAGGGAGAGAGCCCAGGAGTCCTGGGTTCCAGCCCAACTTTTGGCTCTGTTAATAGTGGATAGTTCTCTGTGAACTTCCACTCAGTGTGCAGTGACCGTGAATTTAGGAGCCGATAGCGAAGGGATAGAAACGAAGCCAGGAGAGAATCGCTCCAGTTGCCCTGGTCTCTACGCTTCCCCTGAAGCTCTGGGACAGGGTCGCTGTCAGCAACAGGATACAGGTCTAGACGGACCGTTGGTTTGATGCATTAGGGCAGCTTCTACGTTTTCAAACGCACTCTGCCTCAGTTTCCCCTCTGCAGCAAAGGTGCCCTTGTGCTCAAGTCACTCTGACAGAGAGGGAGTTCGTTGTGATTGGAGCCAGGCGGATGGGCCCCCTGCCCCCAGGGCAGTAAATTCTCCAGCCCCTGCCTTGCACCCCAGAGAGATGCCTCTTGTACTGTCCACCTCATTACGTTGTTCGTCATATTGTCTCTCTGTAAATCCATGGGACGCTCACATCTTGAATACTGCCTGCAGATGCGGCCGCCCCACTTCCAAAAAGATCTATCGGGATTGGAAAAGGTTCAGAAAAGGGCAACAAAAATGATTAGGGGTCTGGGTGTGAGGAGAGATTAATAAGACTGGGACTTCTCAGCTTGGAAAAGAGACGGCTAAGGAGGGATATGAGAGAGGTCTATCAAATGATGACGGGTGCGCAGAAAGTAAATAAGGAAGTGTTATTTATTCCTCATAACACAAGTACTAAGGGTCACCCAATGAAATAAAGAGGCAGGTTGAAAACGAACAAAAGGAAGTATTTCTTCGCACAACGCACTGTCAACTTGTGGAACTCCTCGCCACTGGGTGTTGTGAAGGCCAAGACGAGAAGAGGGTTTAAAAAAAAGAACTAGATACGTTCCTGGAGGACAGGTCCATCAGTGGCTATTTGCCAGGATGGGCAGGGACGGGGTCCCTGGTCTCTGCCAGAAGTTGGGAATGGGGGCCAGGGGATGGATCACTTGATGATTCCCTGTTCTGTTCCTTCCCTCTGGGGCACCCGGCATTGGCCGCTGTCGGATGACAGGATACTGGGCTCGATGGACCTTTGGTCTGGCCATTGAAATGTCACTTCCGTCGAAGAGAAAACAGCCACACAGGTTTATTAGCTGGAGAGAGGTCGATTTTTTTTCAGCAATAAAGGCATAAAAGGTGGGCGTTGGTTACAAAGTTAAACACGCATTCGAAACCCGAAACATCACCAAGGCTCAGGAAGATTTCAAGGAAACAGCTTTTCTCACCTCCCCAGCCATTGCAGGTCTTAGCAGAGAGCGACGAACCCCCCAGTGACAAACTGCCCCGTTAACCGCACACCTCGTTTGGAACCGGAAGTAGGCAATCGGCCAGCAGCAGAGGCGAGGGGGGGGAAAAAAAAGGCAAATACATCATGAAGTTTCCAAGCTGTATTAAGTCACCGTTCAGCTGTAAGCTTTTGAAATGCTTTCTCCAGCGGTACAAAGGTTTCAGAGTTACAAACGACCGTCCTTCCCGAGGGATTCGTAACTCTTGAGGCTCTGCCGTAGCTAATACCTGTCCAACAGCTGTGGGTCAGTCCTCTCCTGACAGGGGGTTTCCCGGACTCGCAGTGTGTTTCAGTAACAGACGTGCAGTAAAATCTCATCGCTCCTTAGGCTGCGTTGATGCGCATGGTTTAACGGGACGGTGATAGTCAGCAGATTATGGCTTTTCAAATGACACCTCGCTGTCGCTGGGTGTTGGGCGGGGGGCCGCGTGCGCAGGTAGAGGGGTCCTTCCCCGAAGAGATCCGTCTAGACCAAGCGTGGGAGAGGAAACTGAGGCACAGAGGGGAAGGGACTTGCCCAAGCAGGCCGGTGGCAGAGCCAAGGGATGAAACCCAGGAGTCCTGGCTCCTAGCCCCACCCCCGCCAACCATCAGATCCCACTGCCTTCCCAGAGCCGGGGAGAGAACCCAGGAGTCCAGGCTCCCAGCCCCCGGCTCTAACCACTAGACCCCACTCCCTTCCCAGAGCCGGGGAGAGAACCCAGGAGTCCAGGCTCCCAGCCCCCGGCTCTAACCACTAGACCCCACTCCCTTCCCAGAGCCGGGAGAGAACCCAGGAGTCCAGGCTCCCAGGCCCCCCCCCGCTCTAATCACTAGACCCCATTCCCTTCCCAGAGCTGGGGAGAGAACCCAGGAGTCCTGGCTCCCAGCCCCCGGCTCTAACCACTAGACCCCACTCCCTTCCCAGAGCCGGGGAGAGAACCCAGGAGTCCAGGCTCCCAGCCCCCGGCTCTAACCACTAGACCCCACTCCCTTCCCAGAGCCGGGGAGAGAACCCAGGAGTCCAGGCTCCCAGGCCCCCCCCCCCCCCCCGCTCTAATCACTAGACCCCATTCCCTTCCCAGAGCTGGGGAGAGAACCCAGGAGTCCTGGCTCCCAGCCCCCGGCTCTAACCACTAGACCCCACTCCCTTCCCAGAGCTGGGGAGAGAACCCAGGAGTCCAGGCTCCCAGGCCCCCCCCTGCTCTAATCACTAGACCCCATTCCCTTCCCAGAGCTGGGGAGAGAACCCAGGAGTCCTGGCTCCCAGCCCCTCCCAGCTCTAAGCACTAGACCCCACTGCCCTCCCTAGAACTGGACCTCCATGACCATACATGCGTGCTCAAAGACACTGCCATTCACCCTGCTCTCTCGGGGGCCCATGGGGGTCACTAGCTGGCAGTCCCCCCCATCCCCCCGGGAGGAGGCGGCGGTCTCCGTCCCGCCCTGATTTCCTCTCCCTCCCTTCCCCCCCACGCCCAGGTGAGCCAGTGGTACGAGCTGGTGGTGTTCACGGCCAGCATGGAGATCTACGGCTCCGCGGTGGCGGACAAGCTGGACAACAACAGGAGTATCCTCAAGAGAAGGTATTACCGGCAGGTGAGTGGGGGGCGGGGCGTGGGGCAGGGGGGGAGTAGGATGGGGAAGGAGGGGAGAGGCTTGGGGGCAGTGGGGGGCGGGGCTTTGGAGTGCAGAGTGGGGGAGGGGCTTAGAGAAAGCAGGGTTGGGGAGCTGAGGGGGATCAGGGTGGAGGGGCTGGGAGAGAGGGGGGCTGGGGCGGAGCTTAGAGGGGGCTGGGGGCGGGGCTTCGGACAGAAGAGCTGGTGGGTGATGGACCAGGAGCTCAAGAGAAGGGGGCGGGGCTTCAGTGTGGGGGGGCAGAGCAGCCAATTGCATGCTGGGTGGCAGCTGGGGTGCCCCTGCGTTCCCCCCCCCGAATGCTGGGGGCTCACCGGCTGGGTGGGGTGCTCCCCCTCTCTGAGCACGGCCCTGGGGGCCCGGCTACGGGGTGGGAGGCGTGTGCGGCATTGGGGGGCACCCCAGGGGTTTGCAGCTACTCACCCCCCCCTTGCCTGCCCCCCTCCAGCACTGCACTTTGGAGCTGGGCAGCTACATTAAGGACCTGGCGGTGGTGCACAGCGACCTGTCGAGTGTCGTCATCCTGGACAACTCGCCGGGTGCCTACCGGAGCCATCCAGGTACGAGCCAGACGCCCCCCCGGGGCCGGGAGAGAACCCAGGAGTCCTGGCTTCCACCCCCCGCGCTAACAACCAGCCCCCCACTCCCTGCCCAGGACCTGGAGAGAACCCAGGAGTCCTGGCTTCCACCCCCTGCGCTAACAACCAGCCCCCCACTCCTTGCCCAGGACCAGGAGAGAACCCAGGAGTCCTGGCTTCCACCCCCCGCGCTAACAACCAGCCCCCCACTCCCTGCCCAGGACCTGGAGAGAACCCAGGAGTCCTAGCTTCCACCCCCCGCGCTAATAACCAGCCCCCCATTCCCTGCCTAGGACCAGGAGGCAACCCAGGAGTCCTGGCTCCCGGCCCCCACTCCCCCCCGCCCGGGGCCGGGAGAGAACCCAGGAGTCCTGGCTCCCGGCCCCCACTCCCCCCCGCCCGGGGCCAGGAGAGAACCCAGGCGTCCTGGCTCCCGGCCCCCACTCCCCCCCGCCCGGGGCCGGGAGAGAACCCAGGCGTCCTGGCTCCCGGCCCCCGCGCTAACCACTAACCCCCACTCGCTGTCTGCGGCCGGGAGAGAACCCAGGCGTCCTGGCTCCCAGCCCTCCCTGCTCTAACCCAGCAGCCCCCCACCCACGCCTCTCCAGGAGGGGTGTTGCCCCTCTCCCGATTGCGGGAGGGTCTCTCCTCCCCACCCCCGTCCCATGTCCTGACTGAGGGGAAGTGGCTCCCCCCAAATGGACCATGATCCACAGAGCCCCCTCCGGGGTTGTGCTGGGACCCGGGGGCGGGGGGGCTGCATGTGGGTGTGTGGTACTGACCTGGACTCTGGGGGGGCGCGGGGGGGAACGTACGCCTCCCCTTCTGCAGTCGGCCGGCGCCGCCCCTTTAAGAGGTGTCCGTCTGTCCCTGTCTCCTAGACAACGCCATCCCCATCAAGTCGTGGTTCAGCGACCCCAGCGACACCGCCCTGCTCAACCTGCTGCCCATGCTGGACGCCTTGAGGTACCCGCCGCCGGGGGGCCAGGACGCCTGGGTTCTCGCCCCACCGCCACGAGGGGGGTGGGGGCTGGTGGGTTAGAGCAGGGGGGACTGGGAGCCAGAACTCCTGGGTTCTCTCCCTGACTCTGGGAGGGTAGCGGGAGCTAGGGGTTAGAGCAGAGGGGGGGTGCTGGGAGCCAGGACGCCTGGGTCCCCGCCCTGGCTCCGCTTAACAGCCTGCACTGCTCTGCGTTGGGTGCCATCGGTGACCATGCCAAAGGCCTGAGATCCAAGCGGACGCAGGCTGACCCGTATCCAGTAGCCCCCCGACCTGCGCTGCAGAGCCCAGGCTGGATGAGCAGGATGCTCCGGTGTCGGGCTGAGCCCCGAATCCCTGCCGGGCGCCCTCCTTCCTGGGGTGGCGTCTCCGCCTGCCTGGGTTACAACCCATTCGTGGCCCGACCCTCCAGGAACGTTTTTTTCCAGCCCCATTAGGGTTTTGGCCTTCACAACATCCTGTGGCAAGGAGTTCCACAGGTGAATTATTAGGCCGAGATCCAGCGAGGGGATCCTTTGACACTCGACACGGACCCTGTGCTCTGTGCCAGTACCTAGGGGTGACTAGGTCAAAGGGGGCTGGTTAATTAGAGCAGGAGGGCTGGGATTCAGGACTCCTGGGTTCTCTTCTAATGCTTCCTTTCCCCTCCTCAGGTTCACAGCAGACGTGCGGTCGGTGCTGAGCCGGAACCTCCATCAGCACCGCCTCTGGTGACGTCAGCACCTCCTTTCTTCGGGCGTGGGCCCCTGACCTCCGCTGAATCCCACCGCTGCCACCACCACTTCTCCCCTCCCCCGCGACATGGACTCCGCCCCCGGCTTTGTGGACTCTGGAGGAGAGCAGAGGCGGGGGCGAGGGGTGTTTATAAAACACCGAACCCCGCCCCCCCCATTCCCCACCGACAAACGACTCCCCCCCACCTCCTGGGGACGGACTGGGCGGGCGGAGCTTACCCGGCAGCTGGACAAAGAAAGGGGGTGTGAAACTCTGTGGCGCGCGGATGGACGTGTCTCATCGGGCTGGGGGCTGGTTTTACAAGACCCCCCCCCGCCCCCCTCGGCCTTGTACAAAGACCTCGTTTTTTTTTTCTTTTCGTTTCCTTTTTCGTTCCGTTCTTCCTTCTCCTTCGCGCCCCCCCCCCCGGGGCGGAACGGGAGGTTAGCAACCTGGAGCCGCTTGATATACGGGGGGGGGGCTTGGGTCTCCGATCCGGACCCAAGGGACGACCCTTCGCTGGTTTCTCAGACTCGGGGGGGTGGGGGAAGGAAAACCCAGGAGCCAAATTATAGCCGCTAAGCAAGGCCAGAACCGGTGCTGTGTTCAGAGAGTTCTTACTGGGGGGGGTTCACTGCCCCCCCCCAGCCCGTTCCAGATGTTCAACAGCTGGAGTCTTGTGCAGGGAGAGGGAAGGATGCGGGCCCTGCCTCAGGGTGGGGGCTGGTGGGTTAGAGCAGGGGGGCTGGGAGCCCGGACTCCTGGGTTCTCTCCCTGGCTCTGGGAGGGGCGGTGCTGGGGAAGCTGCAGCCGGGGCGGGAGGGACTGCTAGTGCCCAGTTGGTTCACAAGCGGCAGGCCTCTGTGCCTCAGTTTCCCCAGCTGCCAGAGGCACAGAGCTCCTGTGCCCCCAGGCCCGGGTTGTCTGCGGTTCTCGCCAGGCGGGGCGCCGGGAGAGGGTTTGAGGGCCCCCTTCAGTGGGGGGCCTGTCGTGAGGGGTAAAGCGGGGTTCAAGGATCAGCTGAGCACACGGCTGCAGCATCAGGCCCCCCGCAGCAGGATGGAACCCAGGCGTCCTGGCTCCTAGCCTCCCATTCGGGGTGAGACGGGGGCACCGCCCCCCCTTCTGGGCCGTGGGGTAACAGGGGACCTCTCACCTGCTGGAGATGGTGTAGCCTGAGCGGGCGGAAAGTCAATCCAGGCCCAGTGGGTGCTGTGGGGTGGGGGGCGCCCTTCCCTGGCAGGCAGGGGGGGTGCTGGGGGGGCTCAGCAGGGGGCGCTCTCCCCTGGCAGGTGGGCCGGCCCCTGGGGGGCAGGGCACGTTCCATTTTTCATTTGAAGGGTAAAATATCCCCCCCCGCTCCGAGGAAGTGGCAAAATACCCCGGTACTTTCCTGGGCCCAGGGGAACTCTGCGGTCGGAGCCAGGTTCTGGTTTCAGGCACTTCCTGCCCTTCCCCGCCACCGCCAGCGTGCAGTGCATCATGGGAGCCTCCCTTGGCAGGAGATGTGGGGGGCGGGACTGTTCCTTGGAGGAGCTGCACCTCGGCGCCGGGCAAGGGGTCACCGGCCGCCCCGCCCCAGAGGTGGCTGCATCTTGGCACCGGGCGAGGGGTCCCCGGGTCACCAGCCGCCCCGCCCCAGAGGTGGCCACATCTCAGGGCCGGGCGAGGGGTCCCCGGGTCACTGGCCGCCCCGCCCCAGAGGTGGCCGCATCTCAGGGCCGGGCGAGGGGTCCCCGGGTCACTGGCCGCCCCGCCCCAGAGGTGGCCGCATCTCAGGGCCGGGCGAGGGGTCCCCGGGTCACTGGCCGCCCCGCCCCAGAGGTGGCCGCATCTCAGGGCCGGGCGAGGGGTCCCCGGGTCACTGGCCGCCCCGCCCCAGAGGTGGCTGCATCTCAGGGCCGGGCGAGGGGTCCCCGGGTCACTGGCCGCCCCGCCCCAGAGGTGGCCGCATCTCGGCGCCGGGCGAGGGGTCCCTGGCCACCCTGCTCCTGGCTCCATGCCCCCCGCTCCGACCCACCAGCCCCCACTCCCTTCCCAGAGCCAGGGAGAGAACCCAGGAGTCCGGGCTCCCAGCCCCCCTCCCCCTCTCTGACGGCGATTGCGTCCTCCCCCCCCCCCCCCCCCGGCTGTTCCACTTCCCTCCCTTTGGTCTCTGCTGCCCGCAATGGTTTCACCCACCTGCTTGTACCCCCCCTTCTCGTTTGGTTTCTTCCACAATGTACCCCCCCCCTTTGTCCCCCTTTACATGGTTCCTCCCTTCGGCTTGGTCTCCCCCCCCATTGGTCAGTTTCCCTCCCACGCCGTACCCCTGCCGCACGTGACAGCGCCCTGTTTATCGGCCTCCCCCCGGCCGGATCTTCTTCCCGGCGGGCACGTGACCAGCCGCCTCCCGTGACGTCAGTCACATGACTGTGATTCGCTCACCCTGCGCTTCCGCGGCATCCTTCCGCCGTCCTTTCTCTGGCTCTCCCGCCCCCGCCCCCGGCCACCGCCAGGGCCCCCTTCCGCCGCTGCCCACCGCCTGCGGGGCCCGGCGCTTCCCCCCGGCTACGGGCCGCGCCTCCCGCCCTCCCGCCCGTCCCCGCACTACTTTGTTTTGGAGTCAAACTGCCACGCAAGTGGCGCCGTGTACGCCGCCTCGGGCTCTGTGAATCCCGCCTGGGCGTAGCGCGGCGCGGGGCGGCGGGGACGGAAGTCAGGCGGCGGCCGGACTTACGCCCTCTCCGTAGCCGGGGAGGAGGGGGCGGGGGGAGCGTTACGCCAGTGGCGCGGCTGAGGCCGGGGGAAGAAACGGGCCCTTACGCTGGCAGCGCAGGGAGCTGACGCAAGGCGGGCGGCGCTTACGCCGGCGGCGCAGGGAGCTGAGGCGGAGCGGGCGGGCGGCGCTTACGCCGGCGGCGCAGGGCGGGCGGCGGTTACGCAGGCGGCGCAGGCGGCCCCGCAGTCCCGGCCATGAAGTTCCTGTACAAGGAGGAGCAGCCCTTCGAGCGGCGCCGCTGCGAGGGCGAGAAGATCCGCAAGAAATACCCGGACCGCGTCCCGGTGAGCGCCCGGGGCCGCCCCCCCCCCGCCGCGAGCCAGGCCCGGCCCCCCCCCGCCGCCTCCTGCGGGACCCCCCCCCCCGCGCGCGCAGGCGCTTCGCGTCCCTCGACACCAGACCCCGCTAGCAGCCCCCCCCCCCGGGCCCAGAACCGCCCCGCCCCCATCGGGCCCCCCCGGGGGAGAAATCCCTGCAAGCCCCAGGGCAGCCCCCCCCAGCCCCCCGTCCCTGCCTTCCCCCGGCCTTGCCTTGCCCTGCCGGGACCCGTCCCTGCCTTCCCCCGGCCTTGCCTTGCCCTGCCGGGACCCGTCCCTGCCTTCCCCCGGCCTTGCCTTGCCCTGCCGGGACCCGTCCCTGCCTTCCCCCGGCCTTGCCTTGCCTTGCCCTGCCGGGACCCGTCCCTGCCTTCCCCTGCCTTGCCTTGCCTTGCCCTGCCGGGACCCGTCCCTGCCTTCCCCCGGCCTTGCCTTGCCCTGCCGGGACCCGTCCCTGCCTTCCCCCTGCCTTGCCTTGCCCTGCCGGACCCGTCCCTGCCTTCCCCCGCCTTGCCTTGCCCTGCCGGGACCCGTCCCTGCCTTCCCCCTGCCTTGCCTTGCCTTGCCCTGCCGGGACCCGTCCCTGCCTTCCCCCGGCCTTGCCTTGCCTTGCCCTGCCGGGACCCGTCCCTGCCTTCCCCCGGCCTTGCCTTGCCCTGCCGGGACCCGTCCCTGCCTTCCCCCTGCCTTGCCTTGCCCTGCCGAGACCCGTCCCTGCCTTCCCCCCCCCGGCCTTGCCTTGCCCTGCCGGGACCCGTCCCTGCCTTCCCCCGGCCTTGCCTTGCCCTGCCGGGACCCGTCCCTGCCTTCCCCCTGCCTTGCCTTGCCCTGCCGAGACCCGTCCCTGCCTTCCCCCGGCCTTGCCTTGCCCTGCCGGGACCCGTCCCTGCCTTCCCCCGGCCTTGCCTTGCCCTGCCGGGACCCGTCCCTGCCTTCCCCCGGCCTTGCCTTGCCCTGCCGAGACCCGTCCCTGCCTTCCCCCGGCCTTGCCTTGCCCTGCCGGGACCCGTCCCTGCCTTCCCCCTGCCTTGCCTTGCCCTGCCGGGACCCGTCCCTGCCTTCCCCCGGCCTTGCCTTGCCCTGCCGGGACCCGTCCCTGCCTTCCCCCTGCCTTGCCTTGCCCTGCCGGACCCGTCCCTGCCTTCCCCCTGCCTTGCCTTGCCCTGCCGGGACCCGTCCCTGCCTTCCCCCTGCCTTGCCTTGCCCTGCCGGACCCGTCCCTGCCTTCCCCCGCCTTGCCTTGCCCTGCCGGGACCCGTCCCTGCCTTCCCCCTGCCTTGCCTTGCCTTGCCCTGCCGGGACCCGTCCCTGCCTTCCCCCGGCCTTGCCTTGCCTTGCCCTGCCGGGACCCGTCCCTGCCTTCCCCCGGCCTTGCCTTGCCCTGCCGGGACCCGTCCCTGCCTTCCCCCTGCCTTGCCTTGCCCTGCCGAGACCCGTCCCTGCCTTCCCCCGGCCTTGCCTTGCCCTGCCGGGACCCGTCCCTGCCTTCCCCCGGCCTTGCCTTGCCCTGCCGGGACCCGTCCCTGCCTTCCCCCTGCCTTGCCTTGCCCTGCCGAGACCCGTCCCTGCCTTCCCCCCGGCCTTGCCTTGCCCTGCCGGGACCCGTCCCTGCCTTCCCCCGGCCTTGCCTTGCCCTGCCGGGACCCGTCCCTGCCTTCCCCCTGCCTTGCCTTGCCGTGCCGAGACCCGTCCCTGCCTTCCCCGGCCTTGCCTTGCCCTGCCGGGACCCGTCCCTGCCTTCCCCCGGCCTTGCCTTGCCCTGCCGGGACCCGTCCCTGCCTTCCCCCTGCCTTGCCCTGCCTTGCCTTGCCCTGCCGGGACCCGTCCCTGCCTTCCCCCGGCCTTGCCTTGCCTTGCCCTGCCGGGACCCGTCCCTGCCTTCCCCCGGCCTTGCCTTGCCTTGCCCTGCCGGGACCCGTCCCTGCCTTCCCCCGGCCTTGCCTTGCCTTGCCCTGCCGGGACCCGTCCTTGCCTTCCCCCTGCCTTGCCTTGCCTTGCCCTGCCGGGACCCGTCCCTGCCTTCCCCCTGCCTTGCCTTGCCCTGCCGGGACCCGTCCCTGCCTTCCCCTGCCTTGCCTTGCCTTGCCCTGCCGGGACCCGTCCCTGCCTTCCCCCGGCCTTGCCTTGCCTTGCCCTGCCGGGACCCGTCCCTGCCTTCCCCCTGCCTTGCCTTGCCTTGCCCTGCCGGGACCCGTCCCTGCCTTCCCCCTGCCTTGCCTTGCCTTGCCCTGCCGGGACCCGTCCCTGCCTTCCCCCTGCCTTGCCTTGCCTTGCCTTGCCCTGCCGGGACCCGTCCCTGCATTCCCCCGTCCTTGCCTTGCCTTCCCCTGCCGGGACCCGTCCCTGCCTTCCCCCGGCCTTGCCTTGCCCTGCCGGGACCCGTCCCTGCCTTCCCCCGGCCTTGCCTTGCCTTGCCCTGCCGGGACCCGTCCCTGCCTTCCCCCGTCCTTGCCTTGCCTTGCCTTGCCCTGCCGGGACCCGTCCCTGCCTTCCACCTGCCTTGCCTTGCCCTGCCGAGACCCGTCCCTGCCTTCCCCTGCCTTGCCTTGCCTTGCCCTGCCGGGACCCGTCCCTGCCTTCCCCCGGCCTTGCCCTGCCGGGACCTGTCCCTGCCTTCCCCCTGCCTTGCCTTGCCTTGCCTTGCCCTGCCGGGACCCGTCCCTGCCTTCCCCCGGCCTTGCCTTGCCCTGCCGGGATCCGTCCCTGCCTTCCCCCAGCCTTGCCCTGCCGGAACCCGTCCCTGCCTTCCCCCAGCCTTGCCCTGCCGGGACCCGTCCCTGCCTTCCCCCAGCCTTGCCCTGCCGGGACCTGTCCCTGCCTTCCCCCGGCCTTGCCCTGCCGGGACCTGTCCCTGCCTTCCCCCTGCCTTGCCTTGCCTTGCCTTGCCTTGCCTTGCCCTGCCGGGACCCGTCCCTGCCTTCCCCCTGCCTTGCCTTGCCTTGCCCTGCCGGGACCCGTCCCTGCCTTCCCCCTGCCTTGCCCTGCCGGGACCCGTCCCTGCCTTCCCCCTGCCTTGCCCTGCCGGGACCCGTCCCTGCCTTCCCCCTGCCTTGCCCTGCCGGGACCCGTCCCTGCCTTCCCCCTGCCTTGCCTTGCCTTGCCCTGCCGGGACCCGTCCCTGCCTTCCCCCTGCCTTGCCTTGCCTTGCCCTGCCGGGACCCGTCCCTGCCTTCCCCCGGCCTTGCCCTGCCGGGACCCGTCCCTGCCTTCCCCCGGCCTTGCCTTGCCTTGCCTTGCCCTGCCGAGACCCGTCCCTGCCTTCCCCCCGCCTTGCCTTGCCTTGCCCTGCCGGGACCCGTCCCTGCCTTCCCCCTGCCTTGCCTTGCCCTGCCGGGACCCGTCCCTGCCTTCCCCCAGCCTTGCCTTGCCCTGCCGGGACCCGTCCCTGCCTTCCCCCGGCCTTGCCCTGCCGGGACCTGTCCCTGCCTTCCCCCTGCCTTCCCCCGGCCTTGCCTTGCCCTGCCGGGACCCGTCCCTGCCTTCCCCCAGCCTTGCCTTGCCCTGCCGGGACCCGTCCCTGCCTTCCCCCGCCTTGCCCTGCCGGGACCCGTCCCTGCCTTCCCCCAGCCTTGCCCTGCCGGGACCCGTCCCTGCCTTCCCCCGGCCTTGCCCTGCCGGGACCTGTCCCTGCCTTCCCCCTGCCTTGCCTTGCCTTGCCTTGCCTTGCCCTGCCGGGACCCGTCCCTGCCTTCCCCCTGCCTTGCCTTGCCTTGCCCTGCCGGGACCCGTCCCTGCCTTCCCCCTGCCTTGCCTTGCCTTGCCCTGCCGGGACCCGTCCCTGCCTTCCCCCTGCCTTGCCTTGCCCTGCCGGGACCTGTCCCTGCCTTCCCCCTGCCTTGCCTTGCCTTGCCCTGCCGGGACCCATCCCTGCCTTCCCCCGGCCTTGCCTTGCCTTGCCTTGCCCTGCCGGGACCCGTGCCTGACTTCCCCCTGCCTTGCCTTGGCCTGCCGGGACCCGTCCCTGCCTTCCCCCCGCCTTGCCTTGCCCTGCCGGGATCCATCCCTGCCTTCCTCCTGCCTTGCCTTGGCCTGCCCTGCCCATCCTTGCCTTCCTCCTCCTGCCTTGCCTTGCCCTGCCGGGACCCGTCCCTGCCTTCCCCCCGCCTTGCCTTGCCCTGCCGGGACCCGTCCCTGCCTTCCCCCCGCCTTGCCTTGCCCTGCCGGGACCCGTCCCTGCCTTCCCCCGGCCTTGCCCTGCCGGGACCTGTCCCTGCCTTCCCCCTGCCTTCCCCCGGCCTTGCCTTGCCCTGCCGGGACCCGTCCCTGCCTTCCCCCGGCCTTGCCTTGCCCTGCCGGGACCCGTCCCTGCCTTCCCCCAGCCTTGCCCTGCCGGGACCCGTCCCTGCCTTCCCCCGGCCTTGCCCTGCCGGGACCTGTCCCTGCCTTCCCCCTGCCTTCCCCCTGCCTTGCCTTGCCTTGCCCTGCCGGGACCCGTCCCTGCCTTCCCCCTGCCTTGCCTTGCCTTGCCCTGCCGGGACCCGTCCCTGCCTTCCCCCTGCCTTGCCTTGCCTTGCCCTGCCGGGACCCGTCCCTGCCTTCCCCCTGCCTTGCCTTGCCTTGCCCTGCCGGGACCCGTCCCTGCCTTCCCCCCGCCGTGCCCTGCCCTGCCTTGCCGGGACCCGTCCCTGCCTTCCCCCGGCCTTGCCTTGCCTTGCCTTGCCCTGCCGGGACCCGTGCCTGACTTCCCCCCGCCTTGCCTTGGCCTGCCGGGACCCGTCCCTGCCTTCCCCCCGCCTTGCCTTGCCCTGCCGGGACCCGTCCCTGCCTTCCCCCCGCCTTGCCTTGCCCTGCCGGGACCCGTCCCTGCCTTCCCCCCGCCTTGCCTTGCCCTGCCGGGACCCGTCCCTGCCTTCCCCCCGCCTTGACTTGCCCTGCCGGGACCCGTCCCTGCCTTCCCCCCGCCTTGCCTTGCCCTGCCGGGACCCGTCCCTGCCTTCCCCCCGCCTTGCCTTGCCCTGCCGGGACCCGTCCCTGCCTTCCCCCCGCCTTGCCTTGCCCTGCCGGGACCCGTCCCTGCCTTCCCCCCGCCGTGCCCTGCCCTGCCTTGCCGGGACCCGTCCCTGCCTTCCCCCCGCCGTGCCCTGCCCTGCCTTGCCGGGACCCGTCCCTGCCTTCCCCCCGCCGTGCCCTGCCCTGCCTTGCCGGGACCCGTCCCTGCCTTCCCCCCGCCGTGCCCTGCCCTGCCTTGCCGGGACCCGTCCCTGCCTTCCCCCCGCCGTGCCCTGCCCTGCCTTGCCGGGACCCGTCCCTGCCTTCCCCCCGCCGTGCCCTGCCCTGCCTTGCCGGGACCCGTCCCTGCCTTCCCCCCGCCGTGCCCTGCCCTGCCTTGCCGGGACCCGTCCCTGCCTTCCCCCCGCTGTGCCTTGCCTTGCCCTGCCGGGACCCGTCCCTGCCTTCCCCCTGCCTTGCCTTGCCTTGCCTTGCCTTGCCCTGCCGGGACCCGTCCCTGCCTTCCCCCTGCCTTGCCTTGCCTTGCCCTGCCGGGACCCGTCCCTGCCTTGCCTTGCCTTGCCTTGCCTTGCCCTGCCGGGACCCGTCCCTGCCTTCCCCCTGCCTTGCGTTGCCTTGCCTTGCCCTGCCGGGACCCGTCCCTGCCTTCCCCCTGCCTTGCCTGGCCTTGCCCTGCCAGGACCCGTCCCTGCCTTCCCTTGGCCTGCCTTGCCGGGACCCATCCCTGCCTTCCCCCTGCCTTGCCTTGCCCTGCCCTGCCGGGACCCGTGCCTGCCTTCCCCCTGCCTTGCCCTGCCCTGCCGGGACCCGTGCCTGCCTTCCCCCTGCCTTGCCCTGCCCTGCCGGGACCCGTCCCTGCCTTCCCCCCTGCCTTGCCCTGCCCTGCCGGGACCCGTCCCTGCCTTCCCCCTGCCTTGCCTTGCCCTGCCGGGACCCGTCCCTGCCTTGCCCTGCGGGGACCCGTCCCTGCCTTCCCCCTGCCTTGCCTTGCCCTCCCCTGCGGGGACCTGTCCTGCCCTGCCCCCCCCTGCCGGGACCCGTCCCTGCCTTCCCCCCGCCTTGCCTTGCCCTGCCGGGACCCGTCCCTGCCTTCCCCCCGCCTTGCCTTGCCCTGCCGGGACCCGTCCCTGCCTTCCCCCCGCCTTGCCTTGCCCTGCCGGGACCCGTCCCTGCCTTTCCCCCGCCTTGCCTTGGCCTGCCCTGCCGGGACCCGTCCCTGCCTTCCCCCTGCCTTGCCTTGGGCTGCCCTGCCGGGACCCGTCCCTGCCATCCCCCTGCCCTGCTGGGACTTGTCCTGCCTTCCCCCGCCGGGGCCGGTCCTGCGTTTCTCCGTGCCCCGCCGGGGCCGGTCCTGCGTTTCTCCGTGCCCCGCCGGGGCCAGTCCTGCGTTCCCCCTGCCCCGTGCCCCGCCGGGGCTGGTCCTGCGTGCCCCGTGCCCCGCCGGGGCCAGTCCTGCCTTCTCCCTGCCCTGCCAGGACCTGTCCTGCTCTCCCCGTGCCCCCTGCCCTGCCCTCCCCTGCCAGGACGCCCATCCCCTTCGATATGAAGCTTGGTGGGGTTTGACCACTGTGTGTGTGTTTGGGGGGCGGTCGGGTTGTACTGCTAGGCACAGATCCATCCCAACCCCTCCCACCGCTACCTGGCTTGAGCTATTCCATCCTCCCCCCACGCCCAGGCCCCCAAGTGCCTGGGGGGTCCCAGCTGACCCACGGCGTCTCCTCCCTCCCCCGCAGGTGATTGTGGAGAAAGCCCCCAAAGCCCGGATAGGAGACCTGGACAAGAAGAAATACCTGGTCCCGTCAGACCTCACCGGTCAGTGTGGCCCCCCCAGGGTGCGCCTTGCTGCTGGGGTGGGGGGTGGGGGGCAGATCCTTCCAGTGGCAGGGGAGGGGGCTTGTGACTGGATATGGGTGGGAGGGGGTTCTTGGGGGGCTGTCTCTGGGTACTGGGGCGAAATGAGGGGAGCAGATAGAGGGGGAAGCCGAGGTGGTCTTCGTGGGGTTGGGAGGTGGGCAGATGAATGAGGGCGGATTTGGGATAGTCTCTTAAAGGGACAGGTGGGGGTTTCTGGGGGGCACGGAGGAGGGGTACTGGGTAGCCTCTCCCATGGCTGGAAATGGGGCTAGATAAACCAGGGTGCGCCCCATGGGGGGAATCCCCCAACTCTAAACCCCCCACATAGCGCTGTGGGGGGGGGTGTCACAGAAGGGCCCTTGCAGGGGGTGCCCCATCCTGACCCCCCCCCGCCCCGCTTTCCCCTTCCCCAGTCGGACAGTTCTACTTCCTGATCCGGAAGCGAATCCACCTAAGGGCTGAGGACGCCTTGTTCTTCTTCGTCAACAACGTCATCCCCCCGACCAGTGCCACCATGGGCCAGCTGTACCAGGTAGGGTGCCAGGGCGCTGGGGGGCAGGGAGTGGGGCGGGGGGCTCGGCAGGGGGCGCTCTCCCCCGGCAGGGAGGGCTGGCCCCAGGGCAGCGCTAGGGGACATTGTGGGGCGGGGAGTGGGGCGGGGGGCTCAGCAGGGGGTGCTCTCCCCCAGCAGGCGGGGCTGGCCCCAGGGCGGTGCTAGGGGGCGCTATGGGGCAGGGAGCGGGGGTGGGGGGCTCGGCAGGGGGCGCTCTCCCGTGGCAGGCGGGGCTGGCCCCAGGGCGGTGCTAGGGGGCGCTGGGGGGCAGGGAGTGGGGCGGGGGGCTCAGCAGGGGGCGCTCTCCCCCGGCAGGCAGGGCTGGCCCCAGGGCGGCGCTAGGGGGTGCTGTGGGGCAGGGCGGGGGGCTCAGCAGGGGGCGCTCTCCCCCAGCAGGCAGGGCTGGCCCCAGGGCAGCGCTAGGGGACACTGTGGGGCGGGGGGCTCAGCAGGGGGCACTCTCCCCCGGCAGGCGGGGCTGGCCCCAGGGCGGCGCTAGGGGGGGCAGGGGGCGGGGCGGGGGACGCTCTCCCCCGGCAGGCGGGGCTGGCCCCAGGGCGGCGCTAGGGGGCGCGGTGAGGCAGGGAGCGGGGCGGGGGGTGCTCTCCCTTGGTAACGACCCCCCCTTTCTCTCCCCCCTCCCCCCCGCCGCAGGAGCACCACGAGGAAGACTTCTTCCTCTACATCGCTTACAGCGACGAGAGCGTCTACGGCATGTGAGGCGCCGTGCTCCCCCCCGCCACCGGGGGCGCCCTCCTCCCCGAAGGGACCTGCACTTTCTCCTTTTGTTGGTTGATTTCTGTGATAAGAGCCTTTCTCCTCCCTGGGGGGGGGGTGGGTGTGTGAGGATGGGGGGGTACTGTTCTCTGAACACCCCCCCCGTGACCCCCCCCATCTGCCTAATTAAATCCTCCCCATATAACCACCCCGTCCTGCTCTGCCTGGGTTTCCTTGGCTAATCTCCCCCCCCCCCCCCCCGTGATTTCCTGCCATGAAGGGTTTTTCCAACCCCCTTGCACCCCCTGACCCCCCCAAAATCGCTGGCTCCTCATGACACCCAGCAGGGCCCCGAGCTGCCACCAGGGGGCCCCGTCCGGCCGCGCTTGTAACATGCTGTGTGGCGGGGGGAAAAGGGGGGGCATAATAAAATGAGAAGGAAAACCCTGAGCCTGGTGGGGTGTTATTTCTGCGGGTTGGGCGGGGGGGGGGGGGGGGAGGATGGCTACACTGTGGGGGAGTTGGGGGGTGGCCTGATGGCTGCTGTTCGGGGAAGGGGGCAGGAAGAGATGCCCCCGTCCCTCAAAAGGGAGGAGGGGTTAGAGGGAAGAGGTTTTGGGGCTCCCTAAAGTGGGGGTGGGTATCCCTACGAAGCAGGGGATGGGGGGAAATGGGATTAACTTGAGCTGGGGAGAGAACCCAGGAGTCCTGGCTCCCAGCCACACTCCCCCCGCTCTAACCACCAGCCCCCACTCCACTCCCAGAGCCAGGCAGAGAACCCAGGAGTCCTGGCTCCCAGCCCCCCTGCTCTAACCTCTAGCCCCCACTCCCCTCCCAGAGCTGGGGAGAGAACCCAGGAGTCCTGGCTCCCAGCCTCTCTTGCTCTAACCCAGCAGCCCCCACTCCCCTCCCAGAGCCAGGCAGAGAACCCAGGAGTCCTGGCTCCCAGCCCCTACTCCGCTCCCAGAGCTGGGGAGAGAACCCAGGAGTCCTGCTCCTCCAACTCTGGAGGGAGAGGTTGGGCGGGGCCTCCTCGGTGGTGACAGGTTGCCCCTGGCCAATCAGTGCCCCGCCTGGTCCGTGGGCGGGGTCAACACCAACAGACGCTTTCCATCCGGGCCATAGCCCCGCAGGGACTACAGGTCCCAGCATCCTTCCGACCGGAAGTCCCGCTCCCCCCCGGAAGGAGAGTCGTCTCGCCGCCGCTCGGGGCTGGGACTCCATCTCCCGGCGTGCCCGGCCGGGGAGGAGGAGCGAGCGCGCAGTCGCGGCGCGGGGGCTGCTGGGAGTTGGAGTCCCCTGGCTGCCGCGTGCGGGCGGGGACAGCGAGGCCGCGGACTCCATCTCCCGGAGTGCAGCGCGGCGGCGCCGCCGCCGGGCGGGCGGGGGGAGCGAGGAGGGGAGCGGAGGGGGCGGCCGGGCGGGGTGGGGAGCGGAGTCGGGCGGCACCGGACGGAGGGAGAGAGCGGCCCGGGGTGCGAGCCCCGCGCGGGGCGGCGAGGCCATGGCGGAGCCCAGCCCGGAAGGTGCGCGGGGGGGACCAGCCGGGGGGGCGAGGTGGGGGACTCCGGGAGCGGGCGCGCACCCGGGGGGGAAGTTGCGGGGGGCTCAGATGTGGGGAGGGAGAGATCGGAGCTGGGGGGCCGAGAGAGGGGGAGCTGGGGGGGTATCGCAATGGGGGGGGACCGGCGAGGGAGAAATTGGGGGCACGGGGGGGGGGGGGGAGAGACCGGAGCTGGGGGCACGGAGACAGGAGAGCTGGGAGTGGGGGAGACTGGCCCTGGGGAGGGGGGCCGGGGCAGGAGATCTGGGGGGTCAGAGTTGGGGGGAGACCGGAGCTTAGAGGGGGGAGAAAGGAGAGCTGGGAAGGGGGCCGGGGGAGCGGGAGCTGGAGGAGAGCTGGGGGGCACAGTCGGGGGGGGGGCGGAGCTGGGAGGGCGGCAAGAGGCGAGCTGGGGGTGTGGGTGGGGGTGAGTGGCCCTGGGGAGGGGGGCCGGGGCAGGAGATCTGGGGGGAGACCGGAGCTTGGGGGGGGGGGGAGAAGGACCGGGGAGGGGGGCCGGGGGAGCGGGAGCTGGAGGAGAGCTGGGGGGGGCACAGTCGGGGGGAGCCCGGAGCTGGGAGGGCGGCAGGAGGCGGGGTGGGGGTGGGGGTGACTGGCCCTGCGGAGGGGGCCCGGGCCAGGAGATCTGGGGGGCAGAGTTGGGGGGAGACTGGAGCTTGGGGGGGGGGGGAGGAGAGCTGGGAGGAGATCTGGGGGGGCACAGTCGCGGGGGGAGCCCGGAGCTGGGAGGGCGGCAAGAGGCGAGCTGGGGGTGGGGGTGACTGGCCCTGGGGAGGCGGGGCTGGGGGTGGGGGGCAAGGGGCACTGTAGGAGAGCCGGGGGAGGGGGAGCTGGAGGAGATCTGGAGGATTGGGGGGCACAGTGTGGAGGGGGAGACTGGCTCTGGGGAGGGGGGCCGGGAGCGGGGGAGCTGGAGGAGATCTGGGGGGTACAGTCGGGGGAGCCCGGAGCTAGGAGGGCGGCAAGAGGCGAGTTCGGGGTGGGGGTGACTGGCCCTGGGGAGCCGGGGTTGGGGGGCCGGGAGGAGGGAGGAGCTGAGGCGGTGTGGTGGGGTGACCAGCCCTGGGGAGGGGAGCAGAAAAGGGAGATTGGGGGTGCACAGCAGTGGAAGGGAGCAGGACCCTGGGGGGACTGGGGCTGAGGACAGGGTGGGGGCTCGAGGGAGCATGGCGCGGGGGGGGGGAACGGGACTGGGGGGGCAGGATGTGGCAGGGAAGCGCTGGAAGTAGGAGCGAGGGGGGTGTGGGGGGGCAGGACCGCGGCACGGGGGGTGGGAGATTGGGGGGCTGTAGGGAGCTGCGTGTGGGGGAGGCTTGAAGGAGCAGGGGAGAAGGTGGGATTGGGGGGGGCTGGGGGCCAGGTTATGGGGAGGGAGAACCTGGGGGGCTAGCAGGAGGAGAAGGGGGGTGCTTGAAACTGGGGGGGGGCGGTTCTGGGAGGGCAGGAAGGGGAAGCCGGAGGAACCGGGTGAAGACTGCGGGGGGAGGACACGAGAGGGAAACCATGGCGAAAACCTCTGCGGGGGGCGGGGGCTGGAGACTTAGGATGGGGGGGGACCAGCTCGGGGGCGAGAGAGGGGGAGCTGGTTAAGAGGCTGGGGGGGTAGGAGGTATGGGGTGCTGTCCAGAGGGGAAGAGGAGGCTGGGGGGGCAAGGGGTAGCTGGAGGGGGGAGCCTGGGGGCAGCCGGAGTGGGGGGTGTGGTGGAATATTAACCGTGGAGCCCAGCCGGGGGGGGGGGGCAAGGAGGTGGGGCTGGGGGGTGCTAGGGACCGGGGTGCGGGGTTTGGTTGCTGGCAGGGGGGAGGGGAGGAGCTGTCAGTGAGGGTGGGGCTGCTGGGGGGGAGGGGGAGGAGCTGGCAGTGGAAGGGGGTGGGGGGAGCTGGGAGGGTGCAGTGCCGGTGGAGGGGGGGGGAAGCGTCTCAGGGAGCTGGAGGGGGAGGAGCCTGGGGAAGGCAGATGGGGGAGGGAGCCAGGCCACGCCCTGAGGTCCTGCCTGGGGAGAGGGGAGGGGCAGGATCCTCTGCCCCCCTCCCCCCCCCAGCCAGGGTCTCTGCCTGGGGTCCTGGTGAGGAAAAAGTGTGTGGAGGGGGTGGTATGTCTCTCTCCTGGGGGATTGGGATCTCGGGGAGGGGGGTCGGGATCTGTGTCCTGGGGGGCTGAGGTGGGCAGACTGGTGGGGGTGTCCCTGGGTGGGGTCTCTCCCCAGGGGAGTTGGGGGGACAGGGTCTTTCATTGTGTGCGTGGGGTGGGAAATTGGGGTCAGCACCTCTCGTGGTGGGGGGAGGAGTTTGAGGACACATGGGGGGTTCAGCTGCCCCCGAATGGGAATGTGTGTGTGTGGGGGGGAATAAAGGCCCAGCCCCCCCCAAGTGGGTGGAGTGGTAGGATCCCAGATGCTGTGGGGAGATGTATCAGAAAGAGGGGGTGAAAAGGTGAAGGGGGCAGGGAAGGAAGGCTGCTGACCCCAGACCGAGGATGGGGGGAAGGGGGGAGAACCCCCAAAACTCACCCGCGCCCCCCCCCTTATTTTCCAGATCCACCTCCGAACCTCAAAGCGGAGACGCAGGTGAGTCCGGGTCTTCCCTGCACCCCGCACTGGGGTCCCACATGAGTGTGGGGGGGCGGGACTGAGGCCTCCTCCCTGCCTAAGGCCCCACCCCCTTGGGGCGCGGCTCCGGGGTGGGGGTGGGGTGGCCATGGGGGTTGGGAAGGTCTCTGTGATGGGATGTGGTTGCAACAGAACAAACACTTGGGCCTCTGGCCCGCTGCAGCCCCTCCCGGCCTGAGCACTAGACCCCGGGGGCAGGGAGAGAACCCAGGAGTCCTGGCTCCCATCCGCTCCATCGCACCAGCCTCGACTCCCCTCCCAGAGCCCGGGAGAGAACCCAGGAGTCCTGGCTCCCATCCGCTCCATCGCACCAGCCTCGACTCCCCTCCCAGAGCCCGGGAGAGAACCCAGGAGTTCTGGCTCCCAGCCTCCCCCCCCCGCTTCCCTCCCAGAGCCAGGGAGAGAACCCAGGCGTCCTGGCTCCCAGGGTCCAGTGGTTAGGGTTGGGGGCGGGCTGGGAGCCAGGACGCCTGGGTTCTCTCCCTGGCTTGGCCTTGCTGTGTGATCTTTGGGACAAGCCCCTTCCTCTTTCTCAGCCTTCTGTGGATTAACCCCGGGAGGCCCTGAAGCAAGGGTGGGCGGGGGGCAGTGCTGGGGGCGGGCGGGTGGGGGGGGCAGCACTTAATTCCCCCTAACGTGTCTCTGTTCTCAGCCCCCCGAGAAGCGGCGGCGAACGATCGAGGACTTCAATAAATTCTGCAGCTTTGTCCTGGCCTATGCCGGCTACATCCCGTCCACCAAGGAGGTGAGCAACCCTCTTCAGCCCCAGGGGCCTGTCCCCCCTAGGGGGCGCTGGCCCCAGGGCGGGGACTGGCTGGCTTGGGGGGCAGGGAATGGGGCAGGAGTCTGTCCCCTCTAGGGGGCGCTGGCTCCCACCTGGCCCCAGGGCGGGGACTGGCCGGCTCGGGGGGGCAGGGAATGGGGCAGGGCGCCGGCTCCCCTCCAGCCCCAGAGCAGGGACTGGCTGGCTCGGGGGGCAGGGAATGGGGCACGGGGCCTGTCTCCTCTAGAGGGCGCCAGCCCCAGGGTGGGGACTGGCTGGCTGGGGAATGGGTTGGTACCAGGGGTACTCCAGTGCCCAGCCCTATCCTGAGCTACTTCATGTCCCAGCAAGCCCTTCTGGGATCCCCCAGAGCACGGGATTCTGGGATATGTAGTCTTCTCCAAGGGCCCCCTCTTTGTGTTCTGGCCTCTGAAAACTACAGGTCCCAGCATGCCTTGCAGCCCGGCCATTTAGCTAAGAGGTTGGAGCACGGCACTATGGGAGCTGTAGTGTTTCCCGCTGGGCTGCCCAGAGGACATGTCCGCACAGGCGGGGCCTGCCGCGGAGCATTGCATGCTGGGACATGTAGTCTCTCTGGGAGCCCTGAACCAATGCTGGGATCTGCACATCCCAGCGGGCGGTGGGGCCCTGTGTTGCATGCTGGGAAGCGTCTTTTCTGCAAGGTGCCTGGGGCCCATTGCATGCTGGGAGAGCGGGCAACACCCTCTCCTGACCCGCGCTGCATTGCATGCTGGGAGGGCAGCCAACCCTCAGCCCCCCGCCTGCCTGCTGGGCGGGTGGCCCCGGGGACCACACCAGGGGCTGGCCTCCGCTTCTCCCTGCCGCCCCCTCCCTAATCTGTGCCCCCCCCCCCTTCCCGCCCCCAGGAGAGCGACTGGACCCCTTCGGGCTCCAGCTCCCCCCTGCGCCCGGAGAGTGTGGCGGACAGCGACGGCTGGGAGTCGACCCACTCGGACCTGCACACCATCGAGACCTTCGTCAAGAAGGCCAAGTCCTCCAAGAAGAAGGCCTTCCGCCGCCTCAAGGCCGACAGCTCCCTGCTGGAGAAGATGAAGCTCAAGGACTCCCTCTTCGACCTGGATCCCGCCGCCCGGCAGCCGCCGGTGCCCCGGCCTGGCCCGCCGGGGGACAAGAAGAAGGAGAAGCGGAGCCGGCGGGCGGGGGCGGCCCCCGAGGCGGCCCGGCGGGGCCGGGGGGACTCGGCGGGCGAGAAACGCTCGCGCATCAAAAAGAGCAAGAAGCGGAAGTTGAAAAAGGCCGAGAAGAAGCTCAAGGCCTCCCTGAGCGAGACGGACTCGGAGGAGGAGGAGGCGGGGGCGGACCGGGGCGGGGAGGAGGAGGCCCCCTCCCCGGAGGAGCTGCTGCCCGAGGGTGGCTTCCCGGAGCCCAAACTGGGGGGTGGGGAGGGCAAGGAGTGCGGCAGCACCGAGACCAGCCAGGACGGGGACGGCAGCTCCAGCGAGGGGGGAGATGCGGGTCATGGACGAAGATATCATGGTCGAGTCAGGTGAGGGGACTGGGGCCATCTGGCCTGTTCGCCCAGGACGCAGCGGACGGAGCTGGAGCTGTGGGGCGTGCTGGGAGAGCTGGACGTCGGGGTGGGAGGTGGCCAGCCAAAATGTTGCTCTGCCCCCCCCCCCCACACACACACACACATGCGGACTGGCGCTGAGAATGGAACCCAGGAGTCCTGGCTCCCAGCCCCCCCTGCTCTAACCCACCAGCCCCCACTCCCCTCCCAGAGCCAGGGAGAGAACCCAGGAGTCCTGGCTCCTTGCCACCCCCCTGCTCTTACCATTAGATTATGTTCTTGCTCCTCCTCTGCCACCCATTTTGTCGAATAGGAACTAATTTGCTGAATTTCTTTCTTTGGAATAAGATAAATAGCAGGGACTGGCTAGCTCAGGGGGGGTGGGGAATGGGGCACGCTGGCTCCCACCTGGCCCCAGGGCAGGGACTGGCTGGCTTGCGGGGACAGGGAATAGGGCATGGGGACTTTCCCCTCTAGGGCTGAGAGGTGTCAGTTGGTGGGTGGTTCATTATCTGTTAGTTAATTAGGGGTTTTAACAAAGATGGATCTTGTCTTTAACAAAGAGAGGTTTTCTCCGCACTGTGGGCAGGGCGCTTGAGTTCACTGGAAATGAACTGGAATTTGGCAACTAATAATGACTTTAAATAGAAACAAACTCATTTCCACAGCCCTACATTTTCTCACTGGAACTCATTCGGAAGCAGGCAGAGGGCGAAACCGTATCAAAAGGGGTCTCGATGGCAGTGTAGACGCTTTCGTCCCACACAAGCCATTGGGCTCGGTGTGGAGTGGGTTGAAGCGTACCGGCCAGGGACAGCCAGACGGGGCAGGCTACGCAAACGGCTTGAAATTTTGGGGCCGTTCAGCGTCTAGAGAGACCAGCTGAAGAGCTCCGAATCTACTGAGGTGCTGGAAGCGGCAGTTTCCGGTCATTCCAGATGGGGAAACCGAGGCACGGGTTGCGGCAGGGCTGGGAATTGAACCCGCCGCCGTCTGTTGAGTATTTAAAGAAAAGAAAAAAGAAGAGTCACTTGCCTTGCATCTGGGTTCTCGCCATCCCACCTCTCCTGTCTTCCACAGAGACGCCCAGGCAGCTGAGGCTTGATTGGTTTTCTCCAAGGTGGGGGGCGGGGTGGAACAACTTTTCGGCCATTGAAACGGTCGTTTGAAACGTTCCTATCTAGCTTGACCATCCGATCGGGGCTGGGGATCGAAGCGGGATGTACAATTTCTGAATCTTTTGCATTGGCCGTCCCACTTTAGCCATCCCCCCGCTTCATCCTGCTCTAACCCCACCGGACCCGTCCCAGGACTGAGGACCCAGGGGTCCTGCGTCTCAGCCTCCCTCCCCCCCCCCCCCCTGTTCTAACCCACTGCCCTCCCAGAGCCGGGGCTGGAGCCCAGGAGGCCTGGCTCCCGGCCTGTCTTTGCAATGTGCTGTGTCAGGCTGTGGTACATCTGGGCTGGAGGGGAAGGGTCCCTGCACGTTAGCTGGGGGTGCCAGCTGCCTCGAGGGGGGCTGCTGGGGCTGGAGTTAGTCATGCCCTGTGGCAGAGGGAGCTGTGATGCCAATGGGGCGGGGCCAATGTCAGTCTGGGGGTGAGGGGTGGGGCTGGGGGAGCTGTGTTCCCAATGGGGCGGGGCTAATGGGGGTGAAGAGGCGGGGCTAGGGGAGCTCTGTTTCCCAATGGGGCGGGGCTAGGGGAGCTGTGTTCCCAATGAGTCGGGGCTAATGGGGGTGAAGGGGTGGGGCTAGGGGAGCTGTGTTCCCAATGGGGCGGGGCTAATGAGGGTGAAGGGACGGGGCTGGGGGAAAGCTCTGTTTCCCAATGGGGCGGGGCTAAGGGAGCTGTGTTCCCAATGGGGCGGGGCTAATGGGGGTGAAGAGGCGGGGCTAGGGGAGCTGTGTTCCCAATGGGGCGGGGCTAATGGGGGTGAAGAGGCGGGGCTAGGGGAGCTCTGTTTCCCAATGGGGCGGGGCTAATGAGGGTGAAGGGACGGGGCTGGGGGAAAGCTCTGTTTCCTAATGGGGCGGGGCTAAGGGAGCTGTGTTCCCAATGGGGCGGGGCTAATGGGGGTGAAGAGGCGGGGCTAGGGGAGCTGTGTTCCCAATGGGGGCGGGGCTAATGGGGGTGAAGAGGCGGGGCTAGGGGAGCTCTGTTTCCCAATGGGGCGGGGCTAATGGGGGTGAAGAGGCGGGGCTAGGGGAGCTGTGTTCCCAATGGGGTGGGGCTAATGGGGGTGAAGAGGCGGGGCTAGGGGAGCTGTGTTCCCAATGGGGCGGGGCTAATGGGGGTGAAGGGGCGGGGCTAGGGGAGCTGTGTTCCCAATGGGGCGGGGCTAATGAGGGTGAAGGGACGGGGCTGGGGGAAAGCTCTGTTCCCCAATGGGGCGGGGCTAATGGGGGTGAAGAGGCGGGGCTAGGGGAGCTCTGTTTCCCAATGGGGCGGGGCTAATTAGGGTGAGGGGGCGGGGCTAGGGGAGCTGTGTTCCCAATGGGGCGGGGCTGGGGGAGCTCTGATGCCAGTGGGGTGGGGCTGGAGGGGCAGCCCTGCCCCTAGAGCTCTTCCCCCCCTGCCCGGCCCTGACCCCCGGGTTGTCTCTGCTTCCCCCCCCCCCCCACCCCACAGGGGACGACTCGTGGGACCTGATCACCTGCTACTGCCAGAAGCCCTTCGCCGGCCGGCCCATGATCGAGTGCAACCAGTGCGGCACCTGGATCCACCTCTCCTGCGCCAAGATCAAAAAGACCAACGTCCCCGACATCTTCTACTGCCAGAAGTGCAAAGAGAGCGCCCGCAAAGCCGCCGCGCCGGCCCCCCGGGGCGGGGGGGAGCCCTAGAGACTCGGCCCCGCTCCCCTCCCCCCCCGCCCACCGAGCTGGAACCCCCCCCGAGTCGCCGTGAGGGCTTCAAAACCCCCTCGAGGGGGAGATTCGCCCCGACATCCGTGTGCTCACGTTGCCCCCGCTGGCTGATGGAGAGGGGTGAGATTGACACATGGGGGGCGTGAAATTAAGCTGCTGCTCTTTCCAGCCCCAGTGGATGGGGTGGGGGGAGAGGAAATTGGGGGTGCTCCGCCCCCCTTCCCGGCTGTAAATATAGAAGGAAAGTGGAGGGGTTTATTTTGTGTGTTTTTTTTTTTAATCTCCCCCGTTTCCTTTTTAAAATGGAGACTTTATGCCTGCCCCCCTCTGCCCCCCCAGTATGTCGTGGAAGTGGGGTGCAGCCGGGGGGGGGGAAGTGAATCAACACAAAAGGCGGGGTGTTTGGTTAAGTTCCCATCAAGGGACCTTTTTTCAGGCCGGAGAGAAGGGCCAGTCAGTTCGAAAGACTCCCTCTGCCTGCCCCCCCCGCCCCCAAAGCAGCGAGGGGGGCCCTGCTGGCAGTTGGGGGGGGCCGTCGCCGGCTGAGGAGCAGCGGGGGAAGAGGGTGCTCTGAATAGATGGGCGCAGATTGAAGAGCGTGGGGGGGGCGCCGGACTTTGCTTCCTTCTGGGGTGCGGGGCAGCCCCTCATGAACAGGTGCAGCGTCTCCCCCCCCCGGCCGCACCCCGAGCGGGAGACCAGATCGCAGCCCCCCCTCCCCCTCTTTAATCTGCGTTTCTTTTTTGAGGGTGGGGGTGCAATTCCACACCCCCCCCGTTTGTTTTAATAATATTTTGCAGCTTGAATGTAAATAAATAACGTGGACCCTTTTGCGTTTGTACAGGAGAATGGAGCTGCCCTCTTTTTTTATATGGGGGGGAACCATCTCTGAGAGACCATGTGGGGATGGGGGGGGGGTGTCATGGGGCCTTTCCACCCTGGGGGACACTGTCTCCGATCCAGCCCCATGGTGGAGGATTGGCCGGTTCAGAGGCGTGGGGCACAGGGCCGCCAAGTCCCCCCGGGCTGGCTCCGGGGCCTTCCCCTACTCTAGGCTGGAACGAGATGGGAGTTCCCCTTTGGGGTGACCCCAGCTTCAGCCCCCCCCTTGTTGCCCCTCAGGGGTGGAGGCAGATGCCCCCGGGCACTCGCAAAGGGGGGCGGGGGAGCTGGGGCTTTGGCCCCGGTCGTCGCCAGGACGCGAGCCCTCGATTGGGACGTGGGACCAGGGAAAGTGAGTGCCCAGGTTTTTGTAGGACCTACTATAAACATCCCATCCCACCTCCTTGCCACAGCTCACAAAGCACCAGCAACTCGGCTCCCATGTTTCGGGCTGGACCCGATGCACAGGGGGCGCTGGAGGGGGCGGTACTGGGTGTCGGTCCCCGTCCCCCCCCAGCGCCCCCTGCTGGGAGAGGCCGGAGTAGCTGGGCACTCCCCTTCCCTGTTCCCACACCCCCTCGGGGACCCAGGTGTCCAGGAACTTTTATCGTTGCCCGTGGAGGAGGTCAGTATCATTCTCTCCATTTGAGATGAGGGGGAAACTGAGGCATGAAGGAGGATGGGAGGGAGCGATTGTTGCCTCGGTCCCAGTTCAGTGCTGTACCCACTAGGCCAGACCGTCCTAACGAGCTAAACCACGAGACAAGGGGCTTCACTTGTCAGCCTTGCCCCGGGGTGCCTGGGGGAGCTTAGCTACATGGCCGCTCTCTCCCTCAGTTTCCCCTCGGGACTGGGGGTGTGGGAGGAGTACCTGGGAGAGACCAACACTGCCCACAGCTGGGGAGGGGGAAGCAGCTGGGGTCTAACGAGTCCCATGTCTGTCCAGCTGATGCCTGAGATGCCCAGGAGGGGGCGCTCCTTGCTGCCCCCCTGGCTAATGGGGTGTGGCCAATTCCAGACCCATGCAGCCCCCACGGCTCCCTAGTGCAGAATGTGCTGCTTCCACCTGCCCCCCTCCCCCGCCTAGCTCCCCACCTTTCGTCCGTCTCCCTTCCCCACTTCATTTCCCCCTGACTCTCCCTTTCCCCCACACTTCCCCCATTTCCAACCTGATGCCCCATCCCTCTGATGCTCCCCTCCCTGCCCCCCATTCCTCTTTGATTCCCCTGACTCCCTCTTTCCATTGACTCTCCCGCCCCTATGCTTCCTCCTCTGAGCCACCCCCCGCCGTCCCCCTCTCCTTAACTCCCCCCTTTCCCCCTCTGACTCCCGCCTTTGCCTCCCCAAGATCCTCTTCCCCTTCTGACCCACCTTCCCCTTTTCCCCGCTGTCCCCCCTCTCCCTCTGACCTCCCTCTCTGACTCCCCTCTCCCCTTTTCCCTCTTACCCCTCCTGGCCTCCCCTCCCCACCGTTTTCCCTCTCTGAACCCTCCCCCCCGCCTCCCCCTTCCCCACTCTGACCCCCCTCCCCCACCCTCCCCCTCTGACTCCTCCTTCCCCCTCTGACCCCTTTCCCTCTGCCCCCTTCCCCCTCTGACTCCCCTTCCCCACCCTTTCTCTCTGGCCCCCCTCTGAGTCCCCTTCTCCACCTTTTCCCTCTGCCCCCCCTTCCCCCTCTGACTCCCCTGACCCCCTTCCCTGCCCTTTCCCTCTGCCCCCCTTTGACTCCTGCCCCTCTGACCCCCCTTCCCCGCCCTTTCCCTCTGCCCCCCTTTGACTCCTGCCCCCCTTCCCCCTCTGACCCCCCTTCCCCGCCCTTTCCCTCTGCCCCCCTTTGACTCCTGCCCCTCTGACCCCCCTTCCCCGCCCTTTCCCGCTGCCCCCCTTTGACTCCTGCCCCTCTGACCCCCCTTCCCCGCCCTTTCCCGCTGCCCCCCTTTGACTCCTGCCCCTCTGACCCCCCCTTCCCCGCCCTTTCCCGCTGCCCCCCTTTGACTCCTGCCCCCTTCCCCCTCTGACCCCCCTTCCCCGCCCTTTCCCTCTGCCCCCCTTTGACTCCTGCCCCCTTCCCCCTCTGACCCCCCTTCCCCGCCCTTTCCCTCTGCCCCCCTTTGACTCCTGCCCCTCTGACCCCCCTTCCCCGCCCTTTCCCTCTGCCCCCCTTTGACTCCTGCCCCTCTGACCCCCCTTCCCCGCCCTTTCCCTCTGCCCCCCTTTGACTCCTGCCCCTCTGACCCCCCTTCCCCGCCCTTTCCCGCTGCCCCCCTTTGACTCCTGCCCCTCTGACCCCCCTTCCCCGCCCTTTCCCTCTGCCCCCCTTTGACTCCTGCCCCTCTGACCCCCCTTCCCCGCCCTTTCCCTCTGCCCCCCTTTGACTCCTGCCCCTCTGACCCCCCTTCCCCGCCCTTTCCCTCTGCCCCCTTCCCCCTCTGCCCCCCTTCCCCCTCTGACCCCCCTTCCCCGCCCTTTCCCTCTGCCCCCCTTCCCCCTCTGACCCCCCCTTCCCCGCCCTTTCCCTCTGCCCCCCCTTCCCCCTCTGCCCCCCTTCCCCCTCTGACCCCCCTTCCCCGCCCTTTCCCTCTGCCCCCCTTCCCCCTCTGACCCCCCTTCCCCGCCCTTTCCCTCTGCCCCCCTTTGACTCCTGCCCCCCTTCCCCCTCTGCCCCCCTTCCCCCTCTGACCCCCCTTCCCCGCCCTTTCCCTCTGCCCCCCTTCCCCCTCTGACCCCCCTTCCCCGCCCTTTCCCTCTGCCCCCCTTTGACTCCTGCCCCTCTGACCCCCCCTTCCCCGCCCTTTCCCTCTGCCCCCCTCCTCCCCCTCTCCCTGTGCCCCGACTCTCCCCCTCTTCCCCTTCCCCTTCCCCTTCCCCCCCACCGCTCCTGCCTCCTGCCCCTGACGCCAGCACGTTGCGTGAGGCGCGCACGTGCGTCAGGGGACGCGCACGCACACACCGCTCCTCCCCGCCCCCAGCACGCCCCACTCACGTCAAGCCGTCTCCGTCGCGTGACGCGGGAGGAGGGAGGGGGGGGGCCCGGCGCGCGCGCACACACGCTTGCACGCAGCGCCGTGACGCGGCCGCGCAGGGCGGCCCGCGTAGCGTAGGGACGCGACGGTCCCAGACATAGGAGGGTGGCTCGCGCGCGCGCGCGGGGGGCCGCCGCGCTTTCCCACCCCCCCGCCCCCTTCCGCCGCGGGATTGATTCGTTCCCGTCCGGCGGCGGCGGCGGCGGCGCAGGCGCGCTGGGCCGGGCCGGGCCGGGCCGGGCCGTACCATGGCGGCGGCCGGCGCGGGGGGGGCGGGCGAGACCAAGGTGATCTACCACCTGGACGAGGAGGAGACCCCCTACCTGGTGAAGATCCCGGTGCCCGCCGAGCGCATCACGCTGGGCCACGTCAAGGCGGCGCTGAGCCGGCCCGGCGCCAAGTACTTCTTCAAGAGCATGGACCAGGACTTCGGGTACCGGGGACCCAGGCGTCCGGGGGACCCGCCCCCTCCCTCCTCGCTCTCCCCCCCGCCCGGGGGCCCCGCGCCCCATCCCCCTGCCGGGGGGACCCAGGCGTCCGGGGGACCCGCCCCCTCCCTCCTCTTCCCCGTCCGGGGGGGACCCAGGCGTCCGGGGGACCCCGCGCCCCATCCCCCTTCCGGGGGGACCCAGGCGTCCGGGGGACCCCACGCCCCATCCCTCTTCCGGGGGGACCCAGGCGTCCGGGGGAGCCCGCCCCCCATCCCTCTTCCGGGGGGACCCAGGCGTCCGGGGGAGCCCGCCCCCCATCCCTCTTCTGGGGGGACCCAGGCATCCGGGGGACCCCACGCTCCATCCCTCTTCCTGGGGGACCCAGGCGTCTGGGAGACCCCATCTCCTCCTTCCTCTTCCCCCCCCCCCCCGAGGCGGGACCCAGGCGTCCAGGGGACCCCGCCTCCTCTTCCCCTCCCAGGGGGACCCAGGCGTCCGGGGGAGCCCGCCCCCCATCCCTCTTCCGGGGGGACCCAGGCGTCCGGGGGACCCCACGCTCCATCCCTCTTCCTGGGGGACCCAGGCGTCTGGGAGACCCCATCTCCTCCTTCCTCTCCCCCCCCCCGAGGCGGGACCCAGGCGTCCAGGGGACCCCGCCTCCTCCCTCCTCTTCCCCTCCCGGGGGGACCCAGGCGTCCGGGGGAGCCCGCCCCCCATCCCTCTTC